AATTTACTGAAACAAAAAAAACAAAAAAACAACTATAATTTCAAGTAGTTTTGCAGTCTCTCCAAGAGATTAGCTAAACCAGCCTGTAGCGATTTCAAATAGTTAGCACTGCTACTGTATGTGGTAAAGTCTTAAAAGAAATTGTTTGACAGTTAACTTTCTTGCAGAGTCACGTGATAATATCTATACCAAAATATGAATGATGAATATGAAGCTAGCCAGTAGCCTGTTAGCTTGGCTTAGCACACAAACTGGAAACTGGTGTAAACAGCAAGCCTTTGCATAGGGTAACAATTTATTTATTTTTTTATTTAAGTTTTTGTGTGGATTAAACAAACCAGACAGCGAGCTTTAGAGGTGCTATTAGGTGCATTTTGTTACCTTCGGACAAAACCAGGCTAGCTGTTTCCAGTCTTCTGTGCTAAGCTAACTAGCTGCTAGTGGTGGCTTCATTTTTTACTGTTCAGACACAAGAGCAGTATCAATCTTCTGATCCATCTCTCAGCAAGAAAGTGAATAAGTCTAATTCTTAAAATCTCCAACTTTCAAGTTGCTAGCAAAAGTCATGGGGGAGCTTTTAGCCAACTTTTTAGTTACCCCTACAGTTGATACAGAGCAGAGACGGACAGAGATAAAAGGCAAAGGATAGAGTAAAGATAGAATTAAGTAAGAAAGAATTGAATAAAAAAAAGAGACAGAGAAAGGAAAGGAGGAGACCTTCTGGAGGGTTTGTCTCCCAGAGGACTGGCTGGTCTTATTTCATCTCTACTGTCAGTATGAGAAAACAGAGAAATAAGAACTTAAAGCAGACCCCCACCCCCCACTGTAAGCTTTTCCTTCTCCTGTCTATTTTATCTGCTGTCGCTGCTTGCTCTTTCACTCCGTCTCTGTTCATCTCTCTTTATATTTTTCCCTCTCCTCTGTATTTCTCTATGTACTTATGTCTCTGTCTCTCTCGAGTCTGTCTCAGTCGCGTTTTGGTCACAGAACTGTGGTATTAAAATGTGTCATTGAGCTGGGGCGTAAGCCTTACTGGAGAGTTGAAAAAACAGAAGACCAATGCACCAGTTTTTCTATAGTTGCTACATAAAGATGAATTCATTAGGGATTTTTCCAAATCCCTCCAGTGCCCATTTATTCATCATATGCAAACAGCTTTAAAGGAATAGCTTTGTTGCCAAGAGTTAAATGGAGAAGATTGATACCATTGTCATGTCTGTATGAAGCTACAGCCAGCAGCCAGTTAGCTTAGCTTAGCACAAAGATTGGAAACGGGAAACATCTAGCCTGGCTCTGTCCGGGCAACAAATGAGATAACGTGTTAATAAGATTAAGAGGCTTTGTGCTAAGCTAAACTAAGATAAGCTAACCGGCTGCGAGAGATGCTTCATATTACAGACATGTTATATTACAAATTGATCAAACTCGTGCTTCAGTGGTTTGGGGATGCATAAAGCAGGAACAGAACTTAGAGAAATTCACCTGGAAAAAAAGAAGCTATTTGCTTCCAGCCCCATATATTTATTCCAAAATTGTATTGCATAACTCACTGACTCACTTCTTGACTCTGTCATAAAGTCTTTGATGCATTTTCCTCGCATGCATTAATTTGTCCAAGTAAACCCAAATAATGTACTATCTGAGGAGTTATCAAGAGTCACTTAGTGTGAGATTGCCCCCCAGTAGATTACATTCATGCGACTTCAAACCTGCAGAGACAATGTTGCTGTAAAATAAGCATAAGCCCAAAGGTCAGTTCCCTTTAACGGTTCCTCTTTAGAGTAATGACTGTGATAAGAGACTAATGATGACTGATGACAAGGAGGCTCAATGAACAGCTCAATTCAGCACTTACTGTATGAGCCATCAGCCACTAGTAGAATGAGTCAGTGATATCTCAGGCCATGTCAAAGATGGTGGCCAGGAGGATGTTTTCTGTGGCTGAAAACGTCAATTTCGATCAGATATGAGACCAAGAAAACAGATGTGGGTTAGATATGTCTGCTGTAGACTTAAGGAAAAGCACCTGGATTAAACTCCCTGAATAACAAGAGTGAACACACAGAGCTTGAGACACATCAACGCACACAACATTTCTGACAGACATCTGGCTCAGACAAACTATCAGACTGTTAAACCAAAGAAAATGTCTTTTGTTCTACAAGACCTTCACCCAATAAAAGACAAAGGCCACAGGACAACCACCTTGGTGTTTGTGAGCTTTCATGTGCATGCAAGGGCTGACCACCGTGCTCTTCATACAAAATGTTTCAAGCAGGACGTAGCTGTGGTGAAACAGCTTAGAGCTCCTTCACACGACAAGATATGCAGCGATCAAAAAGAAAGTGACGTCCTGCTCGCACAATTTGACAAAAATATAAAAAAAACATTTTCTACTGTTTCAAGGAGAAACAGGTAACCCAAGTCCTTGATAAACAAAATGACAAAAACTTAAAATATCCCAAAAATCTATTAAAGGAGCTATTGTGTTGTAATTATAATTAATTACAATGTTAATGAAATAGTAATTGTAATTGTTTAGTGTATCAACTTTCCCTCGAAGAACACTGTATGCTTTTGCTACTGATTTCTTAGAGTGTGTGTTGATGACGCACAGAGCCTGAGCACAGTTGTTACTTTCAGCTGTGAAGGTGCATGGGGTGAGGGGGCTGACATTGATAGTGAATGTGGCAGAGTATGAATCAGGAAGTGAGATTTTCCATTTTAGAAACGGTGACAGTTATGCCTCTTCTCTGCAAGAATTTGTAAAATACCACACAGGTACAAGACATGCTGCCTTTTATTTAAAACTATGTCAATGTGCCTCAGCTCCTTTGCTTAACTTTTTCTTTTTCAGGATAGATCGATATTATAGCATTGTGAAAAAATGTGAAAAGACAAAATACAGCCTTTGGGTGCATCTGCTGCTGACTCAAAGGAAGATGTGAAAGCCCAGCTAAGCAAAATGGATTCCTCATCTCTCTCTATAATACTAGGTTGGCGTCACTTTGCTCCACTTTCCAGAAATAAGCTACTAAATAACCCATTGGGACAGTGTCACTAGGCACAGTCTGAAGTTAGTCCCCTGCCACATATTCTTTTATACCCACCTTTCAAAAGTATTCTGCTCTAAAGGTGTTTTAAAGAAGCCCACCCTCTATTCTGTCTGTACTTCAGACCACATGCCCTTCTGACTGAATTTTCATGACGACTGATCACCTTGAAGGCCCACAATCAGAACCATATCCTCCACTGAGGCCGCTGAGGTCATGTCACCGGTGCTTTCTCCGGAGATTTTAAAAAACCTGCGGGAAGGTCTGCATTCTACATTGGCTGATATTTTATATGCTGGTTCCAGCGTCTTTCTGACTCAATATATTCAATCTTTAGGCATATAAATAAATTAACAGCTAAATAAATGCAGGACTTGTTATTTTCTTACCAGCGTTTGATTTGATCACTCTTTAGTGATAGAAAACATTTATCTTCAAATTTAATTATAACTGTATATCACAACCAAATGATCAAAGTAATAATAGATGGATTTGAAACTGACCCTCAGTTTTAATGTATCATCACACTGTCATATTATATTTAATGAAGAAAAACATTAAATATAAAAGCCATCATCTATGAAAATGCATAGCTATTTTAACTGAAAACTACAAATATCATAAATTTAAAGTTTAACCTTATACCACATTCACAATGTTGCATGATTCCTAACTCCACCTGCATTTTTTCCAATAAAGCAAGAAACAAAGCCCCTTTCTTGAACCCGTTCATGGCTGTGAAAGTGGATCTGATTTTCACGGACTGACGTGACGTCAAAGCCGGACCGCGCTGAGCCGAATCTCCACTGTTACTCCTGTCTCACGTCTCCTCTGACAGGTGAACTGTTTGTACATGAGGGCCACACACACACACACACACACGTACGTGCGCGCGCTCAGACAAACACCTGACCCAATTTTCAAGCTGCTGCACGATCCAGTAACAACAGCCAGAGAGACATCAACAAACAGCCAAAAAAACAAGTAGCATCAAAATCCTCTCTGTCCCCTCTTGGCAAACCTGTTTTACACACAGCACCTTCCTTCTCTCCCCTCACTCTTCTGTAATTTTCCCTTTTGATTCCCCTACTGCAGTCAACCTGTTTTCCTGTCCTGTCCTGTCCTGTCCTGTCCTGTCCTGTATTAATCCTTCTAAAAGTCTAAGACAAATCCACTGAGAGAGAGTATCATGCCCAAAGATCAGAAACTGACCACAGAACAACCCCAAAATTCAACTCTTAACCCCTGACTTGAGCCATCTTACAGCCCCAGCTGCAAGCGAGAAGCCAACCCTCTGTTCCAGACCTGGCCTTTATTAACGCCAAATTTCAGCCTTTATAACCCCCACCCACACTCACACACCCGGCCTCTCCAATTCCAATATCTACACAGCCCCCGGGAGCAAAACACCAAGCCTCAGCTGCATCCCTGACCGTCATCCCCCAACAAGACAACCGATCGCCCCCATCAGCAGCTCCAGATGCCGCAGTGTGCCAGACAGGATTAGCTCACATCAGGCCAGAGGGGTTGCAGATCTTCCCTCTTACCCTCCACCCCACACCTCATCCTCTCAACCCTCTTCCTCTGACTGCTCCTCTGATCCCCTGCCACCGTCATAAACACTACACTACACACAGACACACACACACACACACACACGCACTAATACATGCGCATATTCAGAATGAATTAATTAACAAACAAGGGACAATTATACTGTGTGCGGAGGCGATGTGTGCACACATTATATGTTTTACATAGATCTGCTAATTAAATGAGATTGTACTGGATGAGACAGGATGAAAATTTGCTCTTCCCTGCGGAGAAACAGGGCAGTTGCAGTAATAAGTGGACACATGACAATATAGGAACACACGGATCAAAGTTGTGTGTTTTAGAGGAAAAAGGTCAAAGTGCAAAATATATGATTCTTGAATGATCACCTACCTGACAGACATGGAGAACTCTCCGGGAGCACTCTCACTCTCTCTGACCAGAAACGCTCCACACTCCCTGTGTCTGAGGCGACTTTCTGCCACGCCACGAGATATACGACCTGCAAACCAGCTGCAGGCAAGAGAGAAAGAAGTGGACATAAGTAAGAAAGAAAGAGGTCAGTGATGCTACTGCTTCATGCATATGATCTGTGTTGTTCAGATTAATGAGCAGCTGCAACACAATTTAGCACAAATCAACTTGAGAAAGGAGTTTGTTTGGATGTTTGTATTTTCAGCACAGCACAGATCAATGCTGACAAATAAAAGAGAGGTTGACTGTGGGGTGAAAAAAAAAAGGTGAAGTTATTTTTAAACACGCTGCTAAATATGCACGCAACACAAATCCCAAAATGCTGGATTTCAGTTGTCAGCGGTGGAGCGGTAGTAATAATGTCATTTTTCATTTTATTTTATTATTTCTCATTAGTTTTGCTTAGTAGAGCAGTTTGCTTTGATGCAAGGCTTGCATAAGTGATGTTCTGCTTTCATGAACCTGCGCTCCTCATCTGATGACTCAGATGAACCAGTATGGTGGACAGATTATAGGACGCTCTCGTTTCAGGTCAAAAAGGTCAGCGTTCTGGATTTTTATTTCATGGCTCTTGTGAAGAAATGTGGAGGAGTAAAAAACACATTTCCCAACAGACTACACATGAACTTTGACTGGACCGTACAGCAGTGTTCATTAATGAGCCAGAAGTGCTGTAATGGCTGTGCTGTCAGTTTAGTGTTTGTCGCAGTGAAGGGTAGAACCCAGCTGGTGTATGACCATCTGATGGAGATTCAGGGTGTACCAGCAGCTTCACTGTAAACACACACACACACACACGGCTGTATCGTGTGTGATTACGTAAGGCAGCGAGTGAGTGTGTTCCTTTGGGTAGGCTGCCTTATGCCGGAGTGCAGATGTCCAAAGCAGAGCAGAAACCGCCCGGAGGTGCACACACTCACTGATGAGCTGTTTAGATAGACCAGTGCTGGACGTGTGAAATGCATTCATCTGCTTTACAGATGAGTTGACGATGCGTGTGTGTCTGTGTGTGTGTGTGTGTGTGTGTGTGTGTGTGTGTGTGTGTGTGTGTGTGTGTGTCTGTGTACTTACGCGTGTGGCCGCAGGTTGATGTAGTTTTTTGGCACAAAGCCTTTTCTGTTGTGGAGCTCAGCTGTGTACCAGTTAGGATCATCCTCCATGTTGGTGATCTAGGAGTGAGCACACGCATACACACATGCACGGTACACACATACACACACACACACACACACGCACGGATGTAATATTGCCCATAATGATGTTAATGCAGGCTTGGTCATTATTTTTTCCCTCTGTCTCACTGTATTTCAGTCTCCTCGCCAGGCCAATCTTCCTCAATTATCCACTACAGTGGCTTTTATCCATCTTTGTGTGAACTCTCAATTCACACAAATTCCAAAGCACACAATATTATTGGCAAGTTCAAAATGCCACATGAAGACCTTTGTGATTACGCACATGCAGGGCCAGCAAACAGATCCGGCCTGCTCTGCATTAACCCAGAAATTTCATCATAATGTCACAATGCAAGCTTCATTTCAATTGTTTTTGACTGCTCTCATTACAGTATCAGTTCTCACAAAACATTTAAAGTGGGGCTATGTGATAAAATAATACATTCTTCCCCCTTACAGATCAAATCTGAGTTCATTCACATTCAAAAACTGTGCTCAATTCAGCACACTCTGAGGTCTCGCCGCAACAACCATACATGGTCTGGTGTGGCCACTAGCTTATGATGGCTAATGTTAGCTACTCTTAGCAAGCTTAAGATAGACACTGCTGTGTAAGTGACATGTCAGTCAGCTCACTGACTTTAAGTCTCTGTTTGTGCTTCTGTTACACAACATTGTAGCATGATACAGGTAACATTTCAGCGAAGAAGAAGTAAACACATCATGTCAGTTTGTGCAGTGTAACTGGCTGCAGTGTGACTGTAGCGGCCTCTGTTCTACAAAAGTTGCATGGTCTCGCTTTAAGCATTTAATTCAAAGCAACCAGCAATTAACTCATAAATGCCTGAAATTTGTCTCAGGGGCAGCTGCCACATTCACATTACATCAGATTTATCAAAGCTCATAAACATGGAAAGGGCATTCATGTCAGCCTCATGGTGGTAACGAGAGAGACAGTCACTGTTTCTAGATGGCTGATATGGCCCTGCATGTTGTTGTATGATATGGCCCCTGTATTGTGTGTATGTCCCAAATAATTTTTAAAAATCTGCCAAAAGCTGCAAATATATTTTTGTGTTTCAAGTAATTTGCTCCAGACAGAAAATGATTGAAGTGAGTGATGTCTGCTCATCCCTGACCTGACTGATGTTCTCTATACCTCCTACCTTCATTTTGAATAGAGCCGGGGCTGGCAATGCTAAATCATTATTATTCTCATTATAAATATTATTATTGACAGTTTTTAGACAACCTTAGAAAAACCAAGTGATGAGGGCAGGGGAGGACAGCTTTTAATTGTGAGAGAGACACATTGTCACCTGATATGCTCCAGTTTAATATGAAGCCGTTTTATTCTCTCTCATCTCATTGGTCTGGTCTATTATTGTCATATTTATTTCGGTATTCTAATCCAGTTGTGACAATCCTTGTCATTTTGATATTTTAAGCCGTTGTTTTTTTTTGCTCTGCTTGGCTGCTTGCAGACACATTTCATAAACCCCTCTCTTTTTCATCTCCCCTGCAGAACTGAGGTCACTTCGTCATCACTTTTTGGAGTTTTTTTTTTTTTTTCTGTATCACATTGCCCCTGCGTTTTATCAGCAAAACTAAACAGGTAAAATGTGACAGATAGTAAAAAAAACTGTACAGATGAAATGTATCCTGCCAGTGAGCACTTCAGTGATGTAGAACTCCTCGGGCGATGTTGCCCATATGTCAAGAAGTTGCCCTGTTCGCTTCTCTGCCTTTAGGAACTTTATTTCATGCACCAGCTATTTTAATGGTTACACTGCACATTTGTATGGGCATTTTAAAATGTGTTGCAGGCTATAGAATGATTTAATGTCCATAGCATCAATCATTGTTCAGTCACAGAGCTGAATGATTGCCCTTTGAATCAGTTCGTGTTTTCAGCATCGGTCCAAAAGACGTTTTATCTGGAGAAGAAGTTCCACTTAAACAACCCTATGTTATATTTTAAACAGTTTAATGTGACATGTTGCACTATATTAATACTATCACATTTACATAAGCCCAACTGGATGTTTTCTCTTGTCTCTACTGCACTCGCTTATTCAACCGACCTGAGCCACAGCCTCAGTTAATTCATCACTCTCACTCTGTGACCCACAGACATTAACTTTTCCAACCAAAATTTTCCCCACCTCTCATGAACCTCCCTCTTGATGTCCTTTTTTAATTTTGCTTCTTAATTCCACTTTGCCAGGGGACACATTACAGTTACATCTAGAGCTCTTCACTTCTCAGCTTCTCTTCTTCTCTTCTTTACTTCCTACAGACAAGACACTTACATCACAGCCCCACCGTTTATTAAACAATAAACAGAAGTTATGCTCATAGACCATCATGACAGAGAACACGGTGAGTCTGCAATCAGCCAAATCTATTAATAACCAAATTTATTAATAATTTCTTCATTTCTTTTCATATGTTCTAAAACTTTCCATGCTTTATAAATACATCTACATTGTCATTGACAATTACGTCTTTTCATTCACCTTCACAGGATGCACGTTCTAAATGCCCCACTTGCACAAACTAAGGCAGCCTGGGCTCAGGTCCTTTTTGTTGGACCAGGAAGTGCAGCAAATAAAAACTTTATTTCCCAAGGATTTATTTTAGTGACTCAAATTTTTTTTGCATGTTTCTTATTCGGTGATGGGGGTGCCCGTTGTACTACCTGGCTACTTTCTGTGATTTTAGTCACTGCCACTGACAGAAGAATCACACAAACCGAATTGTCACATTCGTGTGTTGGGGTTTGAGGAACAAAAGAAACGCCCCACTTTTGTGTCCCCTGTGTCAAACTCTGTCTCCTGGCCCGACACTGAATGTCAAAGCAGCTACTTTTTTATTGAACTATGAAGCTATCATTATAATCATTCCTTTACGAGTCTCCACTCCGCTCCACTCAGACTGATTGATCACATTTATCACATGGCTACTGCACAACAGGGCATGAACAAAACAATGCTCCCCCATATGAATGATACAAATTATAATAATAATCAATATAATAAAATGAGATGAAAAATGAAATCTGATTGCTCTCATCCACACTGGCAACAGGGTGGGGAAAAGGAGCAGCTACAGAAAGGGGGGGTTTTTGGCACACTAAAAGGAAGTAGTAACAGGAGAGTTATCTGACATTCAGTTTAGTGTCTTTTTCAATGATGGACATATTGCATGATACTATATGAAATGTTGTGATACTGTAAAGTTCAGGCCATCTGTGCTGCGAGCAGGAATGAGCAAACGTGGAGAATTATTTAAAAGTCTGACTCAAGTGTGAACCAGAGTTGTTTGGCTGAGTCAAGAGAGTAGTTTATCCCAGCGGGAGGAAAGAAAACATTGCACATAAAGTGAACAGTGTTTTAAGTGTTGGTCCCATTTTAGTTACAATAAATGCGTCACTGTGGCTTTGATGCTGTTTGACCTAGCCACCAACTGAGTGCTGATCAAACCCAACAACTAAATCTATCAGGATTCACAAGAAGGGTATTTAGAAAAAAAGATTCTCAAATTGTTGTATCCCGATATAAAAAGTTCAGGGAATAAAGAATCACATTTATTTTCTGTAACAACACACTGACAGCAGCAAAACTAAACGCCACCTCATATTGGCTCCATCATACACTGGCACTCCGCTCCAAATATAAATAAATAAATAAAGATTTTGCAGACAGCTGAAATGAGAAGCTGCTTTATTCATGTGTTGTCTAATATTGGAACAGAGTCTATCTGGGATGAATAATATAGTAGCGTATGGCTTACAATTAAAGGTAAATTCCACCCTCAGGCATTACTATCCTATTAGACATCATCAAATACGTCATGGGGTAATTTTGTGGTGTCTACCTCATCATCCTTAGGTGATTTCCAACATTTCCCAGATTTCCCCATTTGAAACCTTTCAGAGAATGGTGGAAAACTAGTACAAGCAAACAGCACAAGTCCTAGTCAAGCAAAAGTCAGCGCTGCCTCTGACACCAAATTTGCCAGCATCAGCATCATTGCACTCTGGTCTACTGAGGCTAAATCCAGTGCAGAAATTGATTTCGCTGTGTCTTCTAGCCTGGATTTGTCTTTGTATGACTGTCGAACAGCTGGTGTCACGGTTTGTTGTAAGTCGAGAAAGAAGCTCTTGCTCTTTAATTACGAGGTTCACTGTTGATGTTTTAAAGGGACGATTTTCTACGACAATAATTTCCAGCCGTACAGGAACGATGTCAGCACTGTGTTTTGCCTATTAGCCATCAGAGAAATACAAAAGCTGTAGCCTAGAATTTGCATCATGCATCTAGGAATATCCTGTCATTTTGGGAAATAAGATCTTTATTTATTTATTTATTTTCAGGCAGTTAAATGACGAGATTTATTTAAAAAAAAAAACTCTTCTCTCTGCACAATAAATATGACGTTACTGCCCTGAGGCCTTAGCTTGGCACAAAGATCAAAAACAGGGGAGGGTGGGACAGCTAGCCTAAAGCACAAAGATGACAAATTTACCATTTTAAGAGGGGTTATGCATCTCTGCATTTCTTGGCCAGGACCAGTTTCCGGGCTAAACTGGCAGAAATTCCAGGAAGTTACTGCTCTCAGTCAAGATATAGTCTGTTACATAATGTCTGTTAAAGAGTTTTTACATTTTATTTCTTGTATGGATAAAACAAACAAGATGTGGCGCATTATTTAGTGAGCTTTGAATATGCTGGCAGACAGATGTTGCCACCAGGTTCTGATCTGTTTCCCTCTGTTTCTAATCTTTATGTTAAGCTACAGTAGCCGGCTCCTGGCTCAAGTTACATGTTTACCATCGATCTTCTATTCTAACACTGGTCAAAAAAGTGAAAAGGTATATTTCCCAAAATGTCAAACTATTCTTTTAAACTACTCTAATTTTGCTTTACAACTTGTTGAGTTAGTTTCAACTGTGTAGATCAAATAAAAAATAAATATCTGTACATATTATCCTCTCAGTTACCAGCTGCACCAGGGCCAAAAATCCAATGTTTGTAACAATCACAACAAGTTCAAGCCATCTATACGCTGGTTGTTTTTCATATGGCTCTTTCTTTAGTCAGCCACAGCAGCACCTGGATACGGACTGTCAAGAGCTGTTGATGCTAAAGTTATAATTGTTGTAATTATCACAGCAGAGGCGGAGAGAGAGAAAGAGAGAGAGAGAGAGAGAGAGAAAGTGATGGTGGTGGTTGATTTGTTGCTTCAAGTATGAGTAACATGTGTAGATAGATAAAAAAATAGATAGATAGATAGATAGATAGATAGATAGATAGATAGATAGATAGATAGATAGATAGATAGATAGATAGATAGATAGATAGATAGATAGATATAGAAAGGGAAAAGTAGGGAACATTTATTTTCCTTACCTTGAGCATGTCTCCCTTGTTGAAACTGAGTTCATCGCCTTCAGTGGCACGAAACGTATACAGTGCCACCGCTTCCATGCCGAAACCCCTCAACACACACACACACACACACACACACACACTCACACACACTCTCAAACACACACTTCAGGGACCCCCACTAACCTCCCTGGCACGGGGAGTCGGGGGGGAGAGAAAGAGAGAAAGAATATTTTTAAGAAATAAATATATAAACAGCTGAAAGAAGACAATACCATGAAATAAAAGACAAGAAGAGAAGGCAGAGAAGAAGAGGAGTAAGAGAGGAGAGGTGTCGTCTGTCCGCTGAGCCAAAGAGCGCGCGAGAGAGTCAGAGCAGAGGGGGAGAGAGAGAGAGTGAGCTCAGTGAGGGGAAAAACACGACTGGCTGCTGCTCAGCAACACACTGCCATGAGTAACATTTAGAGACAGAGAGAGAGAGAGAGAGAGAGGCAAGGAAGTGGGAGGCACTTCCTGTGTATATATTTGTCTCATACACTCAATGTGGCTTCTGTGGATTCTGTATGTGTGTGGTTTGTCGTTACACTTCTGTCACTGTGCGAGCTGGCTTTACTTTTTTCACACCTTCACATGCAGTGAAAAGTGAGCTCATGGTTGCTGTTGTTCCTCGTTACTTTTTTAAGATCGAAACTTTTAGGCGGAGGTCAGGACGGAGTGAGAAACAAAGGGAATAATCCACCCAAAAATGATGAAAAAAGATGAGCTTTGTTTTATCAGCTCATTAAACACGAGTTGAGCTGGATTTCTCTGTGTAACAAACCTTCTGGCACGTCAGGTTGGCACACAGCACGTCGACTGATTTCTATTTCAGTGTCAGACTGTAGTTGTTGCAGCTAAATCAAAGGCTTCACTTCCCTTTTTTTTAACCCCCCCCTCCCACCACCACCATCCACACACACACACATTTGTAGGCTACATGTCACATTACTAATTTTTTGTATAGCTTTGGCTCAACATGCTCAACAATCTTAAGCATGTGGATAATTATTGATGGATAGATAACTAAAGTGTCTCCAACAGTTACTTCAGTAGTTGCCAGCCCATGATGTCTGAATGTTATTCCGTTGTGGCACTTTAAGAAGTATCTCCTCAAAGATGTAGCTTCACGTCAGGGCTACGATGACTTTGGAGATAGCGCACGGATGTCGCACACACCTGATTGGTCAGGACGGCTCGCTTGTGTTTTCTCCTGCAGGTTTCTGATGTTGGCAGAGATTGTTGAGAGTAAAAACAACATGAAACAAAACTGAAAAAAGAAAAAGTCTGAGTTATCTTCTTTAAACTAAAACACATCTAGCCACCAAACCATTTCCTCTACAAACCCTTTGTTCACTGCTATTTAACACAGTGACTGACAGAACAGAAATACAGCCATGTCGACAATAGTCTCATATTCCAACCCATATTCAGTAATAAAACTAGGCAGACCCTCCAACTGTCACTCGTGTCACAAAGTAAGTGAAAGACTCTGACAGAGGGGAATACACAGTGCTCGGTGGCTCTAACAACAGGAGAAATCTGCTGCTGAGCTATAAATCACAATTTACACCAATCAGTCAGGCTCCTCTTTACCCCTTGTGTCTATAAATCAGGGTTTACGTGTCACCTATTTTTCTAAATGTTGTGAATTAGACCTAAAAGACACTGATGCTTCAGACTATTGCACAGACAGGTGCATCGCTACACTCATACAAGTACTTTACAAAGTTGATTATTCTCTTTGGTGTAAGATAAAAAACATGCAAACTTCAGGTCTTATTTATTAGGTCTGGATTTTCCAAACGGCGCTGAGGCCACGAGCTGCCACAGAATGAGAAAGCAGTCGCCCTTTTGCCTTGTCAGACTATGTCATGGGAAATGATGCAGCTGTCTGTAGCTGTTCAAAATCCTGAGTTATGTGTGTTTATTCTTTATTGTGAAACTCCTCCTGCAGTACAATACTTATGTAAAACCAAAAAACAAGGGCATTTTTACACACATTATTGTAAATGATCACAGAATTATTAATGCAGGGTTAAGTATATAATTTAGCTTCAGTGCTGAGGTTAGCATTTGAATTAAATATATTTTAGTCTAGTCTGGTCAGAGACTTGGAAAGGTTTAATTTAGATTTAGATGAGACAAATGTCGACACACAACATGGTAAAGGTCAAAGACAGTGGTTAGGGCATTGGTGAAATAAGCATGTGCCTCTCTTCAGTCAGTGGGTGTCTAGTGTGTATTGTTTGCATGCAGTCTGGAAAACTTCTCTAAATACTTTGACAGCTTTTAGCCAAACACAACAAGTAGCTAGTCAGGTTGTAGTAACTACCACACCTCAGGAAAAGATATCTGCCGGCGTGGCACGTTTATGAGACTGAGAGAGGCGAGGGACGAGAGAGGGAGAGAGATGAGTCTTTAGAAGCGAAATGAAAAATGAAGCAGAACTAGTCGAAGCGCTACAGCAGGACAGCACGGAGGGACTGTGGTTTCAATAGCATGACCTGTCCAGGAAATCCCCAGTCAGCTGCTCACTTTGACTCAGCCATGAAAAGGATTGCAGGAGGAAGAGAGGAGGGCTGGATGTGTGATGATCGGACAATAGAAGAGGAAGAGAGAGGAAAAGGAAGTGCCTCTCAGCTCAAGCCCCTTTTTGTGTGTGGAGATTTTCCATCTAATTCTCATGAGTAATTTAAACACGACTAAGGATCAGAGGATTTTGAGATCAATACATCCAGAAGTACATTTAGCAGGCTTTTCCTTCATTTCTATGTTTAAATTTGTATCAGTTGGTCATCACTGTTCTCTCAGCCTCACTTGTCAAACTTTTGTTTTTTCCCTTGGATTTTCTGTTTGTCAAGTTCCTGGTTCTGTCCTTTGTCCATTAAGCCACAGTGTTGACGACCACTCACACCCTTATCTTCTGTTCAGTCCACTCAGCTGATGCGGTTACATCACTTCTTGTGTCCACTTCCAGGAAAAGCCAGCACCGGATGTTTTGAACAGCAAGTGTTCACCAAGTGGCCTTATTATCACTGTAATACATCAGTGACGCATTTTCCAATAATATTGAGGAATTGTTTTCTTTAAAGACTTCCCACGAACTATTGTGTCATTTTAAAAAAAAAAAAACTCATCTCATTGTCAGTGTTAAACAAAGTCAGTACCCTATTATTATATTTTACCAACAACACACGGCACATCTAGTATGCACACTGCTGTTCTGCCTGAGTGACACTAACATTTCATCCTGTCAGGAGCACTGATGCAGAGAGCATGAAATAGATGAACCAGTTTGTGCGAATGTGTGTGTGTGTGTGTGTGTGTGTGTGTGTGTGTGTGTGTGTGTGTGTGCGTGTGTGTGTGTGCGCGTGCATGTGGTGTGTGTCAGCGGAAGCAAGTGGGCAACAGTGGAAAAGCAGGTGGGCATAAAGTCTCTCAACTTCCCTTCAAAGGCATTGACAACACTGCCTCTCTCCATCTGTTTAGTCTGAGGCCCAGTTTTTCATCAGTTTGTTCTCAATCTGTCTTTTCTTTTTTCTTTTTCTGCCACCATGATCTGAAAAAACGCCTGTCGTCTCCGTCCGCTGATTTTCTTCCTCCTTTCATTCTTCTTATGTCGTATCATCCCTGTGACACTTTCTACCTCCCGTTTCTCTCTTTCTCTCTTTCTGCGTTCCCCTCGTCTCTCCCCTTCTCTCGTTGAACTTTGCAAAGAAGTCAGATTTAAAACATCCACACCTCTAGCTCCCCTCCATGCTCATGCTCACATTGAACAGCAGGCACTGGGCAGGGAAGGATGTCAGCTGAGTGTCAACATTGGCTTGAATAAGTTTTATAAACTTAGTGAGAAACTCTGGGCTTTTCCTTTAACACTGAGCAGTTGAAGATGTAGCAGATCTGTCGCTCATGCTCAATCTTTAGTTTATGTTTGAGTTTTGTGTTTTAGGTGACATATTTCACTATTCATATTCATATTTCACATTTCATGACTCAACATAATAAGGAATAAAAGAGCAGCAGGGATTGTTCATTTGAAAAATCAAAACCTGAAGTGCAGTGTATTGGAGATGGAATATTACGTGATCATGTTAAATGTGTAAATGGCCCAGTCTTGTGCCCACCCTTTCAAAATGATAATTCATGTGAAAAATTAGTGATTCACTGGCTGTGTGTAATTATAGCGTTGTTTGACCTCTTTCTGCATCTGCAGTTGCAGTTTTACTACAAGGATGAAAGTATCTGCAGTGATACTGAAACCATGGTGTGTGCAAAACTGTGGGAAATTTTGTTTCAACACTGGTATGGTAAACTGGTAAACATATATATATATATATTTATAGTTTCGAATTTGTAAATTAATTATCACTGTGTTTTAACTTTTATGATTTCTAAATTAAATATAAAAACTTGAATTTGGTATTAAGTCATGCAGAAAGGTGTCTATTTGAATGAATATAGCTCTTTGTAGTGGAGTAAGATTAACGCTGTTTATTATTAATGTTTCCTCTGTATAACTGTTGGCTCAGGTCACATCAGTTAGTATTGTGGTGTACGGGATACCCGTCGGAGTCTGTTAACAACAGTGATAGGATGACAACCACAGCTTAACTAGTGAGCACTAATGAACTGATTCCTAGAGAGTAAATTAACTATAGATTTATGTTGATTATGTTGATTTTGTCGGATTTCAATTACTATTTTAATAAGAGTTGTAAACTGGAAAAAATCTAAATATTGTCGCTGAAGGCTGTTGGTAATTAAAAGTTAAAGTCACAGAAGTGAACTCCCCTCAGGTGTCTGTTCTAAAAAATGTGTAAGCTGTTAAGCTCTTTTTCTTCTTGCTCACCTTCTCCAGGTAGACTCCACACCAGCCCCCAGCGAGCATAATACCATTTGCATGTATGAAAAGATTTAGCTAATAAGCTGGCGGGAGTGGCAGGTATTATACACGATCCTGTTTCATGCTTTCTGTCGTCTCTTGCTTTTCTGCTGATTTCAGCTCCGTCTGGAACCACGTGTGCCACTGCAGGCCAAGGACTGAATCCTGCAGGTCTTTTCCCCTTTCCACATTACATAACTTTTTATGTTTTGAAACTGATGCACCAGTTGTTTGTGCGGCAACTATCAGGCCTCTTTGTACATCTGTCAAGTTCCTTATGTGACCCTCTTTGTTCACATACTGCTGAAGATATTCAAATGAATATGACTCTCATGAGTCACTGCCTTTGTAACTTTTTAACCAATAGTTTAAGAAATGCAGATGTAGAACAGTCTGTGACAGTGCCACTAATTCATAAATGATGAAGGGCAAATGCTTGGACAGACTGACGCAAATAACTGTTTAAGAAGTAGAAAGGACAATGTATAAAGGACGACAACAGTGGAACACCTGCAGTAGCCAGTATGTGTCGACATCATGAGACATTATGATGACCAGTAACACTAGTTGTGGGGATCACTGCATGAAAAGATTGGAACTTCTGTCAGACTTGTGTCGGTAGAATATATTGTATAAAACATTTCCTTGCATTGCTCAGTTCTCAGTGATTATTGCCATATATATATATATATATATATATATATATACTGTATATATGTATATATACATAACTCGTTGAGATTTGATAAAATCAACCAAGGAACTTTGTCTTTAAGATGAAAACTTATTTTTTGCCTAAGTGTACACTCTTCTGTTAAGTGGCACCTTGGCTCTCAGAACCTCTTTCCCGATGGACGCAAATGCACCACAGCTTTTGATTACACCGGGGTCAGCCTCTTTCAGCTACCCCACAATGACATCAATACCTGTGACAACATTTTAAAAGAAGTGCTGCAGTGATAAAAGACAATAAAAACAAGCTGAAGCTAAAACAATAAGTATCTGATGAGATGGATCAAGATTAAAAAGACGTTAGGTGTGTAATTTATTAGTAAGCCGCAGCAAATAGTAATGTTTTAAGCCCCGATTTAAATGAGCTGACAGTTTCAGCAGACCTCAGGTATTCAGGAAATCTGTTCCACTGGTGGGGAGGAGAGAAAAGATGCTTCACATTGATGACTTCGATTCTGAGAACACTGACTAAATCTGTCCCAGATGAGCTGAGGGGTCTGGATGCTTCATACTGTATAAGTAGATCGGAGCTGTATTTAGGCCCAAGACAATTTAGTGTTTTATAGACAAGTCGTAGGATTTTAACATCTATCCTTTGACACACAGGAAGCCAGTGCAGTGATTTGAGGACCAGTGTGATGAGCTCCACTTTCTTGGTATTAATGAGGACTCTGGCAGCAGCATTCTAGATGAGCTGCAGCTGTCTGGTTGATTTTTTAATAAAGTTTTTCTGTATCCCGGTTAGACAGAAATCCTTTAATTCTTTCTGTTTTTAAGGTGGTAGTACATGAAATTTTTAATTGACTGTATGGGGTATGGTGAGAGTCCATAACTACACCAAGATTTCCAGCTTGATTTGTAGATTTCATTGTCTTGGATTCAAGGTGAGGACAGACTTTTAATCTTTCTTCTTCTTCGGGGCCAAAAACAATAATTTCAGTTTCTTCTGTGTTCAGCCGTAGAAAACCTGGGCACACCCACTTGTTCAAAGACTATTTTGTGTTTTGCTGCTCAGTTAGACCTGTGCTGGTGGCTTTGTTTTGTGTGACTATGAACAGTCTGGGTCAGTGTGTTACACCTAAAGGTTGAGGAGAAGCTAAGGGTTCAATGAGTCTAACAGAATATGAGTGTTGTAAATGGGGGGAATTACATGAAAGCAGACAGGCTGTGAAGTTTAATGTTAATTAGCTCTAATGACTTTTTAAATCAAGGGTCACCAGTGCTAATCACATATTAAAGGACACACATGGCTGCAGGGGCTCTGTTAGAGAGACCTCACTAAGTTACCTACACATTGCAATGAAACCCCCTGATCGTGAAAAGTAAAACACTCCTGACCTCTACTGGCTGAAACTGAACCTGCAGAAGGATGATGTGCACTGATCTGCAAGAGGCATCCAAACATTTTAGCCAATGTCATGCCTCCCCCGTAATGCATTCATTGGCCATTTAAGTATTTTACATTCAGTCGATTAGCAAAGTACATGTTTGCACAGGCTTGAATGGGCTTGATAAAGCACTGAAGCAAGTGCGATAACACTCTAGCAGACAGGATAAGAAAGCACGACCTGGAGTCAGTAAAGTTTAATATGCCAAGGTCACATTTTTTGAAAGTTGATGTACTTGTGCTTTGTTTGACATGTTGTTTGCAAATTGATTTCTGGAGTGAGAGGTCTGACCCACCCTTGAACCTCACAGTCTGAGTTATCTTTGATGACATGCTTATCACACTTGTTTGAGGAATTCCATTTGTACTGTTGTTGTTTTGTATTTTCCTGCTGTATTCTAGATAAATAGACCGTATGTTTACATATATAATAACACAAACAGATAATGCCCTCTTCTTGTCACCTCTAATGTTGTTGGACAAACACACTTTGGTGCATAATCCTATTTTAAGTAGGATCATCATCATATCTGAGCTAAATCTTGACTGTTCCAGTGTGTTTCAGGGGTTATGCTTTTAATGTGGTTGTTTTGAAGTCTAGTGTGATGAGTCATCTACTCAGATTCCTAGAAACACAGTCAACTGAACTCAGAAAGGTTTGAGTTACATTACATTTACATTTTCTCATTTGGCAGATGCTTTTATCCAAAGTATTTAGCTTCTATCAGTATTAAAAAACACTGCTGGGGAATAATTTTTGTGAAGTGTGTGAGTTAATAAACAGTAACAATTAAGAAAACATCTATTTCCTGGAATGTTAGTGACATCCTGTAAAAACCCCATCAACTTTTTACTTATTTTCTACAGAGTGTTATATCATTTAATTGTTTTTCTTGCATCCTGATTTTCAAATGTCATCTCTGTCCTATTTCAAGCATTAAAGCTAGTGTAGCTGATAAGGTATTGTTTAAACTGTGCCTGTTCACATCAGAATCTCCAAGCTTATCTTTCTTTCTCTTTCTCCCTCTCTCTCAATTAGCTTGGCTTAGGCTTCCTATGGCTTATCCTGCTGTCCTAACATAGCAGGGAGATTCTCTGTACAGCCAGAATAAAATGTCACTGTTGGCCAGGATGTACGGCACATTAATGGAAAGCTGAAAACTATCTTACCTTGGCTGTCCACTTACTGCAATTCAGGTCTTGGCAACTTCTCTGTGTGCGCTGGCAGAGATGTAAAACTGTGACGTTTTTGATCCCTGCTTCTATTTTTAAGCAACGCACTCTCCATCTACAACATCTACACATGTAGTCTTCTATTCATAGCTCACTGTACACTTTTCGGGGAACCTTTCATGTCTATTCATAGCACCTGATCTCAATAACCAACAGTGTGTTTTGCATGTTTGTCTAAAACTTGTGATGACTGTGTCCCTCCCTCTATTTAAAACACCGCTGATGAGACGGTTGCACAGATACAGTGGAAAAGTCTGAGTGGTGGAATGCTGTCCTGCAATGTTTGTGGCTTTTACTGACACACCTGTAACACACACTCACACACACACACACACACACACACACACACACACACACACACACACACACACACACACACACACACAAAACAGGCTATCCTTGGCATCAACAAATCATGACATGCACTTACTTGTGTAGTATAAGCTCATGCATTGTATTCCCTGTGGCTGGTACAACTTAGTGTCAAAAAGGAAATAAAAATTGCAAAAGAAGTTTCCTGAGAAGAACCTGATCTACCTGATGGGTCTGTTCAGACAGTCACTAAACAGCTAAAACAAAAGAGACAAGAACCATGTTTTAAATATAGATTGGGTGGATTGTCCTTGTAATTTGAAATCCTGAAGCAGGCATTGTTAACCAGCATTGACACATATTTTGTAGTCATATTCTGCCCACCTTGTAGCATGTGTAGCTGTGAAAACTTGAAACACATTAATGATCACGAAAGTGACTCTCTATGGCACTGTGAAACGGGCCTGCCCTAGTACTGTAACGCATCATGTAGGACTTGGGGGGTGACATGGCTGTAATTTTCAGCGGGGAGTAAAGGGTCTCTTAGTCCCCCAGGCAAGTCAAGCCGCCCTGGTCACACCCTTCCCAGCTTCCCCCCTCCCACTCTGCCCGCCATGTTCTGGAGGAGGAGATACGTGTAGCCTGGCTTTAGCTGGCTTAGCATTAGCAATAGCTAGGCGGAGGCGCAACAAGCTCCTTGAACGCCGAAATAAGTACTCTATCTTGATTTTTTCCTTGGAATTGGCGTAACTTGTGTATGGGTCTATATTCCAGGACTAAAAGTAGAACCCGACGCAGCACAAAAGATATGGTAAGTTACCGCCGGCTTTCAAGACAGTCGAGTTGTTTTGTTTTTCCAGAGTGTCCTGTAATCCAGTTTGCTCTGGTGATGTCTCCACCGAGCACCCGTCTTGGCTGTTAGCTCGAAGGATCGCTAACTAGCTTAGCATGCTACTTGGCTATCTTAGCCCTGAAAATACGTTTGGGAGCTGACCGGAATGGTTGTGTATCCAGGTGTGGGGCTGGCTGTAAATCCAATAAATGTTACGCCGTGTGTTACACTTAGAAACTGAAAGATCAACAGTTGAGCTTTCAGCCCGAACTACGGTATAGTGGCTGGCTTGGCTAGCCGCAGATACAAACACAAGCTCTGCTAGCTTTGATCCAACTTTTTTCAAAGCCAAGTTTTTGAGAACGTATTAGAAATTAGCCTTAGTAAGTGGTTGGTTCTCCGAGCGCTAATATCAAAATCAGTGGCTAAACCCTGCGGTATAAAATTTGCCACAAAACAAACTTTAGTCGGGCTTTATACTTTTGGACCTGTGTTAACTAACCACATCAACGTAAGCAAGTTAACATTGTTCGCTAGCGTATTTTGCTAGCTAACGAAAATACTTGCCGCAAGTTTGCACTGAACTTGCTAGCGTTAGCGGTTACCGTAAGTAGCATATGGGCTAGTTATTCCACCCGATGTAGTTATTCAAGTGACTGCGCACAAAGCTGCATCTCTGATAACGTTACACCCAACATTATTTCACAATTCAAACGGGTACTTTGACCCAATTAGTCGGAAATATGTTAGTTTGTTAAACACAGAAATGAATTGTAGCTATAGCTACTTTAGCTTATGTGCTATCAGTCACAATCAGTTCGAGGAAATGCTGTGATTTTTTTGTGTTTTATAGAGCTGCTTGATTGTTTTTATTTCCTCTACCTATACTGTAATAGAGAGGACTGTTAAGTTAAATCAGCATCTGGCATCTGCTGCTGTGAGTGATCAAGGTAAAACTTCACGTCCATATACTTCTTTATGTTTTTAGGGACATTCTTAACGGTGTGGGCGCTGTCTGTTTACACGCTCCGTTTCCAATCGCCTAACCTGCTGGTAGGTAGGCAGGCAGGCATAAATTATTTGCTGAAAGATAACGAACAGTGGAAGGGCTTATTTATTTTAATGGGTATGCTGGTGTTTAGACGGGAGCTTTTTTTGTCAGAGCAGCACTGAGCCCATATAAACGTGGCTTGAGAGAGGGGTAGGGCTTTGTCTATTGTCAGGATGATCAGTCAGTCACAGTGGGTGACAGATGCATCATCACCGTCCTCCTCCCGTCCCTGACTTGGCTTTGTCTCTCTTGGCCGGTCTAGGAGGACAAAAGGCGGGGTGACATGTCGATCAGAAGGTGGCTTTCCCTCCTGTATTTTCCTCACTGCTTCAGGCGTAATGCTCATCATATCCATAGACTTAGGATCACTTAAGGGCTTTTTGAACATGTTTTAGTGGTTTGATTGTCTCTGGGTTAGACATGATTTGACTCTTAGTTTGGCTTGTAGGAACTTAATCCCAGAGTAGTTGAGGATTAAATACTAGTACATGTTGCTGGTGGTTACATTTGAATTTACCTGAAAAGAAGTAAATTGATCGTTAAAGAACTGACTGGGCTACTTTATGTCACGTTGTTGAACACTCCACTTTGTCTTTCACAACCCATAAAAATGCTCTGTCACACACAAACTCACAGCACAGGCACCTGATTGTGCAAGCCTTCTATCTCCAGATCAGCTTTACTCTTACTGTGTGGGCCTGGCAAGGTAGACCTGTTCTCAGTGTATTGCTTCTCAACCCCTAATGCTAATCACAGTCTACCAAGGTTTTGCCAAGACACTCACAGACACTGGCAAACAAACACACACACACACACACACACACACACACACACACACACACACACACACACACACACACACACACACACACACACACACACACACACACACACACACACACACACACACACACACACACACACACACACACACACACACACACACAGGATAGTATTGATTTGTGTTGTTGCATTAGGCAGTTCACTTGTGTCCAGTGTTCACTTTCTTCTTGATGGACCATTACTGTCTGGGATCTACAGGAATGTTGAACTCTGTAGTAAAGTCCTCTCGGTCATTGCATTGTTTCGAAACTGCCCACCGGTTGAATTGGTCTAATGAGAAATACATTTTTCTTTTCTCAGTCCCTACTACACCTTGTCCACACTTGCACAGCAATAACTGCCAACCCAGGTTTATGCTTCTCTCTCCATTGATGAGGTTCATGAAGACATCAGTGTCTCTCACATTTTTCTGTCTACAGTCCTTTGATGCTGACTGTGAGGTAATATAGATCCTGATACAATCAATTGTAGTGTATTTAAAATGTCATATCATCAAGTAAAACTACTGTATGTGTGCTCTGCGTTTCACTCGGAGACCATTCACACACACAGTATGCTGTGAGGCTCATGTGTGAGAAGGCACTTTTGATAGTTATACTGGTATTATTACTGATATTATCATTCATATAATCATGACTTTCTGTGACTTTGACAGCTTGATAGCAGGAAAAGCAACCAAATATGTCAGTGAGTTACTGTGGCTAATATCAGGAAACAAAAGCACAAAATATAGGTACTTGTAGAGGATATGTTAAATGTAATTCAGTTTAAATCCAACATTGCCACGAGGCAGCCTGTGCCATAAAATATATACAAGTAGGGACGTCTCTGTTGTCTCTGAGCACATGTCACCACCATATTTCCCAACCTCAAGGTTTAAGATTTAATTCACTGACAATTCACAAACAAAACTTACCTCATTTTGTTAATTTGTCTTCAAATTTCCGTTACTTCCATGCATGTTAGTGAGATACAGATGGACAGACAAGCAGAAAAGAAGAGACTGAAAGGGTGGCAGCAGATTATAGGTGTGTGAGTTCATCTGAAAGGAGCAGACCCAGGACTCTTTTTCTGGTTACTTTCTATTCTACATGGCATACTGGCAGTTTGAAAGGAATGATGATGGGCTCAGTCATTCGGACATAATGAACTTGCACTGACACATGAATATGTGTTTCTACACACACACAAACATAAGTCCTGTGTGCTATCTCTTCTGGGCCTTGGGGCTTGAGTGATCTAAGCAAAGAGGGACTGAAAGAAGGCGGGCCGGCGGTGTCTTGTGGTGGGGGTTGTTCCGGGATGGGGAGGGGGTACAGGGGGGTGGCATGGACAAGACAGACTCTCCTCTCTTCCTCCTGTCTGCCTTGGGTGAATAGGTGATTATAGCAGCAGATGTGTCATTAGGTCTGAGCTGTATTCATGCGGATGCAGGGTGAGGAGGAAGGTGACGAGGGAACGTTTGGAGGAGGTGGGGGGGTGCTCCACAGGAATCACATTTCACTGGCGTTAAGTGAATTTACGGGATGTGCCAAGTTGTTTTCTTACCCCCTCCGAAACACATACACTCACACTCCTCCTCATTTCCTCATCCTTGTCCCCTCAGCTGTCTTTCCATGGCATTGCTAGGCAGGAAGCTCCATGAAACAGATGCATACATATGCACAAATATGCATAGAAACATGCAATTTTGGGAGTTAAAAAAATGTACATCTGGCTGTATTTAACACAGATACTGCACAGGCAGCCAATCATTTTTACCACTCTTCGTCTGTTCATGAAAGTACTTTGTTTAGAGGCATGTTGGTGCATGCCTGGTGCAGGGATCAGACAACTGAATAGGATAAGTCATCATGGGTCTCCATTGATGGTAAGCTGAGGAATAGTGTGCACAGAAAGATCTCAGAAAACCTAAGCTGCTATTAATTACTGACACCAGTTTAAGCGAGATTTGGTAATAACTCTGTTAATGTGGTACGTGACAGTAGTGGGTGATAAGTGTGTGTGCTCAGCAAATTTTCTCTAGTTAAAAGCAGACCAGCCTGTGTACTGTCTGACTCAAACCAATGAGCTCCTACTGTGTTGTTTGCAGCTGAGCTCAAACTGTATTATTTACAATATCGTATATCCGTGAAATCAATTTTTATTTCTAAGCAGCCCATATAGAAGGACACCGCTTGGTAAATAGAAAATGCATGTATGGTAAATTTGTGTTTCATAACCTAATGTTACAAAATTAAGTGTTTACGTGTGGAACATAGATGTGTAAGGCTCCACTCACTTTCCATACTTGTGTTTGTGTCAGTCAGGAAGTGATTAGTAGCTGGGCTGCTGATCTGTTAGAAACAGGACAGAGGAGTCATCAGTCACTCCTCTCGTCATCATCAGACTGGAAATGGTTTATCTCCCCTGCCACCCACCAAAGGGTGGAAACACATTTTTACTCACTCATTGCTCTGGCGTCTCTCAGAGCAGTATACTGAATGTTAAAACACCGATCCTCAGAAAAAGCACGGATAAAGGACCATTAATGATCTAAATTGGTCTTCAATCTTTACAAAATTAAATTAGCAAAGTTTTGAACCCAGCTATGCTAAAAGAAGCTTATGCTTTTGTGCGTTCTTTGTATAAATTGCCCTGACCTTCCCTTGTGCTAAACTGGTGTCAAAACAAATCATCTTTACATTATTTTAAATCTTGAAGCAATACTACACACATCTATGGAAAATTAGCCATTATTTTAGGAAAATGACTTATTAGACCCATCTCCAGCAACCGTGTCATCAAAAACTTAATATGTACAGTGCTAATAAACTGGTGACTCTGAGTATAGGGACGATTTGTTCATATATACTCTAAGGCAGATTACTGTAGACCTTTTTTGATACCGTAAAAGTCTTTAAGTAAGACACTCTTATCCTGTGAGACAATACCTGTGTAGGTTTCCTTAAATAGTTCATTGAAACACATTATGCATGTGCATTATTTTTATGTTATGTTTTTTAATTGCAAAGATCCTCTGATTGGTCCCAAGTAATCTTGTGTTTGCTTTTGAATGTTTTGTGTTTTTGTTTTTGCTGCCATTTCTTGTCCTCCAAGCCCACCCAGTGAGCTGCTTTACCACCTAAGTCTTTCTAAACAGCCTGGGAATAGCATGACCACACAGACCTTACTGCCCCCGACACTATTCATTTTCAACACCCTGACTTGTAATTTGTAATCGAGTCAAATTACTGTAAACTCAAATGACATCACAAAAGTGCAAACGCAGCTCTTGGTTACACCACCCTAGCCTTGTATGATACAAAGACGACAGGCACTCTACGCCTGCATGGAAATTGTTTATAAGTGTGAAAGTATGAAATGTATTGTTTTTGTCTAGTTTCAAAAAGGAAGGCACTACAGCTGTTCCTATAAATACAAATCATCTTCACAATCTTTGTTTAACTGTGGAGATTACACTGACAGTCGGTATTTGACTCAGGTTAAAACTATGACTCTACCAGATGTTTTGTTGTGGGTTTTATTGTTTATTTTTATTGTTTGAAATATTCTTGGAAAAAAGATATTCTTTTGGCTTTTTAATTGCAGTTTTTTCAAGGTAGGTTGAAAAATACTGATTTTTTCATTCAAATTGTTTTACTTTGATAGAAATGGAAAATTGTATAAAACAAATACTGAGCCTGTTCAGATTTGGGTACTTACTCAGAAACTGATTAGAACAAGTGCGCTGGTTTTGAGTTGTATGCTATTTTTGTTTGGGTATAGTGTAATATTTTTTCTACTTTCCCATACCCTTAATGTCTTTTTTTTTTTTCTTCTGCACACTAACCTGTTATTTGTCTGTTTGCCGTAGGTGATGGCGTGGTCATGTGTGCAGCCAGCGCCGTTTGTGTGGAGATGGTTTTAACAGACGCTGTTCTGGAGGACTCAGGAACGCTACACTGGCCTGGAGAAGCCTCATAGACAAACACAGGCACACAACACACACACAGACCTGTATACAAAAAAGACTTCCACTTACACACTCCACTTCTGTGCCGTGAGAAAGGACGCAGACACACGGACACGTAACACAAGCTTCACCTGAAGCGCACACACACACATTCACATCCTCTGTGAGTGTTAGCTGCTCTTCTTTAGACAGCTTTTTGTGTCCCAGCTCCTCTCTTGTGTGAGAGTGTACATTGTATTTCTTCCTGTCTGTCCCATCTCCACCGCCACCATGCCGAGCTCCACCATCCGCCGGCAGATGAAGAACATGGTGAACAACTACTCTGATGCTGAGAAGAAAGTGAGAGAGGCCACTTCCAATGACCCCTGGGGCCCATCGTCTTCCCTCATGTCTGAGATCGCAGACCTTACCTACAACGTGGTGGCCTTCAGTGAAATCATGAGCATGATCTGGAAACGGCTCAACGACCACGGCAAGAACTGGCGTCACGTCTACAAGGCGCTCACCCTGCTCGACTACCTGATCAAGACGGGCTCAGAGCGGGTGGCGCTGCAATGCAAAGAGAACATCTTCGCCATCCAGACTCTGAAGGACTTCCAGTACATCGACAGAGATGGCAAAGACCAGGGCATCAATGTCAGGGAGAAGAGCAAGCAGCTAGTGGTCCTGCTCAAAGATGAGGACCGCCTAAAAGGGGAAAGGTAAGATTTTTTTAAATAAAATTGTAACACACAATCAGCAGTTAACATCGGCTTGTGTTTATGAATAGATGGAGTGATTTGATTGGTTTTATATTAGGCTGTGCAGAACTCTGAATTCACCAAGTCATACCTGATTCTATGGGGTGGGGGTGTGACAATAATAGACGAATGACGGTCCTCCCCAGACTTTGACTTTGCGTTTGTCCTTCTCCTCTAAAATGTAAAATATAAAACAATGACTAGTTCTTTCAGTGGGTCCGATTTTATTACTGCTGACCAAGAAGCTTTATAACTAAAGAAGTTAACAAAAATAAATTAATCTGAAGAAACGCTATTACATTGTATTTCTAAGTTAGACTAATAATTTCAGTTATTATACTGAACTGTAGTTAATAGTGCAGTTTGTGTTAATAGGCTTGAAATTATACTTCCTTCACAGTGGCAAGCTCAACTCGGACATGTGTAGACGGTTTTTAATGGTATTTCCTGCTTATTTATCTAAACCCTTTACAAAGAACTCCAATAATTATCTGGCTGATGATTGTCAACACTCACTGTAAACAAATTCTAATGACAATCACAGCATCAGGAATGGGGGTTTTACTATGGGTTTTTCCCTTAAGAGTATCACACTGTGGTTGTCCCCCAGGGAGCTGGGGTACTTTAGGACTTTGCTTATTGTGTTTCCACACCTGTTGGTTCTAAACAAAGACGGATCCTTGAAAAATGGCCACAGAGTCGACATTCTTTCCCAGAATAACAGTTTTAAGCAAACATCACTCTGGACATGAGTTGTCTACTTCATCCATTCTAGATATTATATTATAGATATTGGTGAATAATTAAATTAAATAAGTTGACCTGTGCTCGTCTCATACTCTGCTCTCCTTGATTTGTTCATCCATTTGTCTTTTTATAACACACAATATCTCAGACACAGATGAGATTTTGACCAAATATAGGGCACTGCACATTTCCAGAATTAGACTAACTGGCCCAAGGCGGATGCTTCATTATTTGTTTGACAGCGTGTTTAATTCTCCATAATGATTTTGCCGTGGTATTTTAGAATTGAAAGCATTTTAAACCCAGATTCTCAAGGTGGTTTTGGTAATGGGCTTGATCTCATTATCTCAAAGTCCTTTTGGACGTCACAGCAGCGATTATAAGAATCTTGATTTGAGCAATGGTGACTGATCATATCCTATTATGTTTTTTTTTTTTACCCTGCTAGGTCTCAGGCTTTGAAGACCAAAGAGCGCATGGCCCAGGTGTCCACAGGGAGCAGTCAGATGGGTTTTGGCCGAGGATCATCTCAGCCCAACCTCTCTACTTCCTACAGTGAAGAGTACGGCAGGTCAGAGGGCTCACCTGCCTCTTACCATGGCTGTGAGTATTAGCTTATAGTCTCCTCATTGGCTGTAAACACACAGACACACACAGGGCTCATATATCTTGGCAACACATGTAATAACAGTATACTCCATTATTATTGTGTCCCACTTGGTGCAACTTTGGCCTACATCCTGAAACCTGCCCCTCCCCCTGTTCTGTCTCTGGCTTGCAGTCCCGCAGTAGGGCTGCATTCCTCAGCTCTCTCTCACACACACAGAAGAGGAAGCAGAGTTCACCCCCCAACCTCTGTCATCTACATGACAGAGGAGTCTCAGTGTTTTGCTGCTGAATTATGAGTGTCGCTGCTGAAATTTCACATGATTCATGAATATTCACAATGAAACATAACTACTGCAACTTGCACTTGCGCACAGCAGACTTGAGCTAGTATGAAATGAAGGGGACCCTATCACACACCCAAAAACAAATACACGCACACAGATATGCTGTTTTGCGAGTATGTGTGCAACAGGTGGCTAATTCACTCAGGAGAAGCAGTATATGGCGACAAAGTAGACCCGCCTGTCTCTCCTAACGGAAAGTCTTGTATTTATCTAACTTCTTTGCCAAAGACAGTAGAAATATAACACAAGTACCAGAATTGAGTTTAATAAAGTCACCGTTTCTGAAAGTCCATGGCGGAGTAATTATTACAAGCCAAGGTAAATGGTTACTTGTTGATATTCTGTACACTGCTGCACATTTTGCAGTCATTACTCAGATTAGACATGTAATCAAACAGACGGTGTACAGAATAGGTAATATCTGTAGGGAATACTACCAAACCATGTCCAAACATTGCACCGCTGTGAGGTTGGCACCCCATGTGATGAGGATGTGAATACAACTATTTCAAGTTGTTTGTAAAAATTTGTGCTTGAAACATTTTTGAGAAATCAGGTAGTAAAGTTTTAAGAATAGGCGTATTACATCAGCAGCCCCTTAAGACCCAAATGACTCCAAAGAGGTCTCACGGTTTGTACATCATTTTGAAAACAAACATCGGTGCTTCACTGTGTCTCAAGTTATCATAATTTATTCATCTCATGTGTAATGCTGATAACTGGAGAATTAGTGAAGCAAAAATGTTTGTTTTGCTCGCACAATTGATGCACAAGCGAATGAGTCACCACTTTGGAGTCATTTGGATGTTAATGGGGTGCTGAGGCCTGTGCTTAAAAATGTACTGTTTAATTTTTCTAAATTGGTGCAAGCACAATTTTTTTTATTTTGCCTGATGTGCACAGTGCCATTGCTGAAAAAATCCCCAGGGGAAAAATGAATCTTCTCCTGTCTTCAATGATATACTCAGTCCTCTAGAGACAGAGATGGAGACAGCCACACAGTGTAGCAGGGTAGACGGAGAGCACTAGGAGATACAAATTACCAGTATAAAGGCTTGGACAATTTATACCCAATGATAAGAGGGGCTAGGCATGTAGTATTTGTTTCCTCTTACTAAAGTATGAACACTTTTTCATGTGTAAAGGATGTAGTAACAGCTCCCACAAATGCACATTACACCTAACCCTCTTTAACAACTGTGATAAGTAGTTTTATTTTATCATTCCTCGACCAGCCAGTTCTTCTACTTTCTCCAACAGAGAATGAGCTCTTGGAAGCTTGACATAAAAGCAGAGTTCAAATGGATTGAAAGAAAGATGGAGTGAGAGAGTTGAAAAGAAACAGAAATCACCGTCAGGACAGAGGGGAAGAATGGAGAAGTTGAAATGAAAGAATGAACCGTGGCCTCTTTTCCTTTCACCTTCTGACCCCCACTCCTTTATACACAGCAGGATGACTACGTGAGTGTCTGTCTGCTGCAATGCATGTGGTTTCAGCCTGCTCTGATCTTACGTGTGACACAGAGCTGCGTACATCTTTTACTTAGTGGCCTACATTCCTGTATGCACGTTATATTTGAGTGTGTGGCTCAGAGGCGGAAGCTTCAGCAGCTGAGTCATCAGTTGAGAAAACTGAAGGTGATATTGGCCAATAGAAGCGAGACTGGGTGGTAGCTGTGGGTGTTGCCAGGGGGGATTTTTGAGATTCCAGTCGAACTTTCCGTGTATTGTTGTCCAGAAAGGCGATGAATGAATGGCCATGCAAGTGTGACTGTTGGTGTTAACTTGGCATATCCAACATCCTTGAAGTGTCTCAAAATCTTTGCTTTAATTTGCTTTATCTTAGGTATTAAAACCTGCATGTGTATGTTCATTAATTAACCCTAAATGTATTGTAGTTCAGTTGACCTAAACCATGGATCCTGTTTCAACAATGCAGATGGCGCACAAAACACAAATTATAAAACAATGAATGGAGTTCACTAACTCCAAATCAGCAACTTTAATGCAATACGTGTGCATGTGTGGTCTAATGTGAGTCAAGGTCGTGGGGTTCCCAGTCTTTTCTCAGAGGAACACCACAGAGTAAACACATGACTTTTATTTAGTTTTATTATCATTCATCCTCTTTGGTTGTCTCCCATCCTCCTGACCAGTGCTCAGTCAAGCTCCTGCCTTTGCCTACAACATGTAGGTCTCCCACAAAGGTCAGAAAAAAAATGCACATTTTCACAGTTTGAAAATGTACAAAGAAATAATGTTGTAAATTGCATATGAGTCAATCTCCTCTGAGGAACTGCCTCTCTTGCCAGATTTCTAAGAGAGAGAGAGACAAAAGACAAATGTGGGGGTAGTTAGTGGTCGACACCCTGGGATTTAAAAAAAAATCCTGCTTGCTATTATCACCACATAAATCTGCTGCCGATGACACTAGTGGTCATCAGCCCATTTCACTCCTCTACAAAACTCACTTCTCTCTGTTCAGAGCTTGATTCGCATGTTTATAAAGTCTTAACTTTGTTTGATGGCTTTTTTTTTAGCTTAAGTATTTGTTTAATTTCAGTTTTCTTGTTTATTTGTTGAGTCAGTAAACATAGCACCACAGAAAATTAAGGTGGTGAGATAAGAAACAACTGGATTAAACAGTAGAAGGATACGATAGAAGAGTGATTCAGAAGATTTGGCTTTTAGAAATGCATTTTTCTGCTAGCAGGCAGAACTGTCTGTGAGGTATGCCAAGAAATTGTGATTTTCCATATATGGTCCATTCCCACAGTGGTGGGCAAGAAACTGGTGTGTTTTACTTGGCTTTGAGTTTTGTTTATTTGTCTTTCTGACTCGCTACTATTAAGTGTTGCACTGTTTGTTATTGTATGCCAGTTTAGTCTCTCTTTAGGCCTAGTGACTGAAAACTGTTGTTAAAGCTCTCTTCTGCTTTGCAGTTTTATTTTGGAAAGATTTAAAGAGAACTCCTGGAAAATATTCCTTTTGATTGAAGTTGGTAATGCATCCCACAGTGAGGAAACTTACCACCTGTTGCACAGTACACATTTTGTGCCTTGTTAAGCACTGAGGCTTCTGTCTGCTTTTTTGACTGGTTGGATATTGTCCAGAGTTTCACATATAACCATATCAGTCCATCATATTCTGCAGGGTTATATACTGTCTGGGTGTAGGCTTTGGTACATCCTTGCTCACTGTCTATTTAAGGGAGAAATGGAGCTGATGTTGAGGACATGGCTGAAATCCCACCAGCTAACCAAACACACCTTTAGCCCTGGTACTTGTGGTCACTTTCCCTGGAGACATACAGCCTGGAGACGGAGCAAGGGCGACATAGGTCAAGACAAGGAGAGAGGAGACGAGGCGAGGACCGGGTCGGAAGATGAAGTTGCTAGACAGATCATTTTTTTGAATCATGGAGAAATCAGGCTGTTATGCTGCTATATAATCAACACAAAATAGGCTCTTGTAAGGCTAGGCATATCCCCTGATTGTAAGTATTAAGTTGACATTTTTTCTTTGACAATTTCAGGGAAGGCCAAGCGTTTTAACTGTTAAAGGAAAGGTACCGTTTCCTCATTTACTTCATCATGGAAACATTGATGTGGCAAATTTACTCTGCAATGTTAATAAAAAAAAAAAAAAAACCTGCTGATGTGACATCTACCTAAAGAAGTCTTGTCAAGGCAAGAGGATGTTAGTCAAAGTGTGAGGTTTCATAATTAAATGTGTCAGATAGTGAAACTAACCACCAGTGTTTCCCCACGCCATGTTTGTGTCACTGTTGTTGTTTTGTCTCTGTGCTAAGGCCTTTACGTATCCTTCTCTAACCATCTGCATTCAGAATAGGTATCAAAATAATGTTACATTATATACAAGATCATCATGAAGTGAGTACTCAGTAAGTGTGTGTGTGTCTTTGGGAGTGTCTACATCAGCAGCAGAGCATGTCATGACTGGTCTGTGTTGTTTGGAGCAGAGACAGATAAAAAAAATGAGGCATATAGAAAGAGAGACAATGTTTTTTATTGAAATTAAAGTTCAAGTCTGAGGGGAATGGTCTATGGTAGATCAAAAATCCCACCCGCGCAACTTTATTACTTTTTCAATGCATGAATCATTGCACAGAAAAATCTTACATTAAGCCATAGAAGAAATAGGTTCATTGTATAAACAACTTTGCACACCCACAACATTCACACACAGCCAAGACCACACCAAGCTGAACTGCCACAGAGTGACATTATATAGAGGAAAAGTCAAGAATTGTGATGGACGATGTCAGTGTTCTGTATTCGCCACCCACACCATGGTTCTCATAGAAACAACAAAGTTACTGCTTCCTAAGAAAAACATACACAGCCACATTTTGAATTAAATAATCCACTCTAAGCTTCCTTAATGAGTGTCTTTTGGCATTGTAATTCTGTCGTCCTGGCCAGATAATGGCCTGTGTGTGTGTGTGTATGTGTGTGTGTGTATTTGCCACGTGCAGTGTCAGTGTATTTTTTGTGCTGCCACATGGCCTGATCTAATCCAATAAGCTGAATGGACCTGTCGTCCCTTACAGGCTAATTTAAGGCATATATTTACACACTTACGCACAGTATTTTCTACCCACTACAAATGCAACCCAAAGGTGACTTTCTTCACTTGACAGCACCGTGTGAAGACGTGTGATTGTATTTATTGTAACAGTGGTTGGCTTTGGAGAGTTGATGCAAAGAATTTCAAAAGCCAATGACGCAACTTTTCAGTGTAATTCTAGTGCGTATTCAGTATGTGATGGAGTCCCATGTGGCAGTGATGCTAACATACATCCTGATTGTGTTTGTTAGCCACGTCTCCCAATACGGGCTCAGAGCTGGAGCAGGCCAGACCTCAGACCAGTGGAGAGGAGGAGCTACAGCTGCAACTGGCTCTGGCCATGAGCAGAGAGGCTGCAGAGCAGGTAAACACAGAAACACAAATCCACAAGAACACGTGTGCTAACATGGCAGAGCATGAGTCCATGCTTGTCATTATGTTCTCTGACTGTGTAGCTGTGATTGAAGTTGCAGACCATTTACATTGCATTTGTGGAAACCAGTTCATTTTTATATTTCAATATCAGGATTATCGATGCAGTTTTTTTTGACAGACTGAATTTGATAATCTTGGATACAGTATATGAGTAACCATCTTATGGAAACCCTGTAAACTTTTTCCATTGCCAGTTAATCAGTTTTTTATGGACTGGATGCATCTCTGTTTCTCAAAATCCCTCAACCTGAAAAAGAAAATTGAAGTTCTTACTTGCATGAACATTTCTGATGTCAGATTACTGACAAAATTGGGAATACTATGATTACAACAGTGCACTTGAACCAGATGTAATTACTGTAATTGTAAGAGAGGCAGGACATGATAAAAAGACTTACTTATTACACGGGCAAATACTTTACTACTGCTCGATTTTAATATACCACCACTATTGTATATCTATTAGTCAAATGCTTTTGCCCAGGCAATTATCTTGGGTTGGTGTTTGCAAATAAGAGCAAACATTGAAAATAATATGATCAGCAACTGAAACCAAGAGGTATGATTTTTTTTGTTTATTTTTTTTAACCTTTTTACCTCTTTACTTATCCAAGTTCCAAAGATTATTTGGATAGATAGGAAAATAAAATATGATTTGATTAGTTACATTGTTCTGAAAATGTCATGCCATCCACAAGAGCAAGACTAAAAAAGGGAGAAGTTGCACACATGCTGCTTATACTGTGGCTGTTTAGGAGGAGCGCATACGGAGAGGGGACGACCTGAGATTACAGATGGCCTTGGAGGAGAGCAAGAAAGAAGGCCCAGGCTCGGCAAAACTGCCCAAGAAGAAGAAGGAGGTAAAATACACACAAACATGGAGACAATAGTGACTCAGTGATTCCATTATCATCTCCATACTCCTGAAATGTTTTTTTTCTCTCCCAATCCCCTTATTCTGCCTCTGCCTTCAGTGGCAGTAATGAAGCCACTAACTGGCGGCAGACTGCCAGTTAGTGGCTTCATTTACTCGTCATTGTTCTGCCTGAATAGCCGGCTGACTGGAGTTTGAGGGCACACACAGCTGAAGTGATGAAGAAGTAGGGCTGCATGACTATGCTCATGTTTTATCCCAGTACATAATGACATGACCAATGTCAGTGTGTTCTCCTCATCTTTTTCCTAACCATCTTTATTTATCCCATTCTTCTTTTTCCTCTTTTGTCTGCATCCTTTCTTCTTCCCCTTTTTCATGTCTGCTGTCCCCTGGTCTTTCATGTCTGCTGTCCCCTTGTCTCTCTAACCCATTTTCCCTGTCTCTTTCTAGCCACAGTCGTCTTTGATGGATCTGATGGATGTCCCAGAGCCTGGCGCCAGTGCTGACCCCTGGGGCGCAGGGGCCGGAGCTGGAGCTGGAGCTGGAGCTGGAGCTGGAGCTGGAGCTGGAGCTGGAGCTGGAGCCGGAGCCGGAGCTGGAGCCGGAGCTGGAGCTGGAGCTGGGGCTGCTGCTGCATCAGCAGACCCCTGGCAGCCTTACGGTATACACAATCTCACTGGAAATGGTCACATCACATGATATCCACGCACTGACTAGAAGTATTTTTGTAAACAGTCTCTATTTCTGTGTGTGTGTCTCTGTGTGTATCGTCTGCGCTGTCCACCTGCTCTCAGCACTGTGACTCTTTGTTAAATAGGAATGCTGCTCCACTGGCAAAGTAGCATTACTGCACAAGGGGAGGGGATTGTTTGAGCAGTAGTTTTACATGATGTTGAATCAGATATCTGTTGATAGCTGTTATTAGAACTTGCATGACACTATTTTTGCCTGTGTCTTTTATTTTTCCTTTCATATCTTGCTCCTGCTGTCTGCTCTGTCCCTCCTGCCCGTCTTTCCAATTTTTGCCTCACATTTTGCATGCTTCATCTAACTCCCATCCACTCCCACACTTCTGAACCTCTCCCTCTCTCCTCAGGGTCTGCCCCTAAGCCAGCAGCCCCAGTGGATCCATGGGGTGCTCCCCCTTCTGTCCCACCCATGAAGAGCAATGATCCCTGGGCACCAAACTCCACTCCTGCCTCTGATCCCTGGAGCTCTGCAGCTGCCCGCCCCAAAACATCCAACCCAGGTGACCATCAGGGGAAAAAGTAGCTTTGTCCCTGGCATGAGTTGCAGTACCACAACTGTACCTCCACCAAAGAGTTTAACATTTCACTAGAAAATTTGTTATGGAATGATGTATTTGAGTCTAAAAGAGATTTGGAGAATTGTTTAGCATTTGACGAAGTTTGCACTCTTTGCGTTCTCTGCATTTTAAAAAATGAAAAAGACGTCTTATGACTGGCTGGTTAGTGTCTCGAAGCCTCAAAAGCTGTGTCAAAAGGAGCACATACAGTAATGTCTATGTGCTTATTGTGTTCAGTTGTCTTTTAGTTTACCATAATATTCAAACTCATTCATACTTGTGTTGTCTGTTTCCATCTGTCTACGTTTGTGTGTCTACTGTCTTTTTATGTGATCTTCTGTGTGTGTGTGTGTATGCGTTTTCCCCTTTCAGGTAGCTTTGACCTGTTCAGTGCATCCAACGGTACGTCCAAAGAGGACTTCTCAGAGTTTGACAGCCTGCGCTCCTCCTCCTCTGTCCCCACTGGTACTCACCCTTGTCTTCGTCTCTCTAATGACACGGAGTCTGTGTTGTTCTTCCTCTGTGTCTGAAGTGATGCCTGTCTGCAGATATAAAGTTTCTGCGGGGCACAGACACTCATGTCTTGTCTTTGTATGTAAATATCACCAGACCTGAGCAAAGACTGTGTTCAGACCACTGAAGTCATGTTTTTTTTTGTTTTAATGTTTGATGATTCTCCACAGCAAAATGCAATCTAATGCTGCTGTAATCATTTTGAGTGGTGGTAAAATAGCTCTTTGCTCTGGTCTAGTGCCATATCACTGTGGTCTAATCTATGCAGCTTTTATGTGTTTATTGCTAAATGCATTAGACTTGTGCCATCTAGTTTATGGAATCCCTTTCAGATCCACACTTTTCTGATTTAGTCTGGTGCATCTGAACCAACAAGATGTTCCAAAATTTTGAATTGAACTCATTCACCACTCCATTCAGGTTGGTTTATGAGAGGGTTCCCGTCAATAGCTCGGCACAGGTCTGGGTGTTCTTCTCATGTGGTTTGGCAATCTCTGGGCGTGGGAGGGTGACATTGATGTCAGACTTTTGCTGTAGCTGAACACAAACACTTCTGATACACTCAAGGACAAGGTGAGAACGAACACAATCACAGATGTGCAAAGCTACTTTTTCCAGAAGGGGGGGGGGGGTCAACTTTAAACTTTGAGCCACCTTGTCACCATATGGTGTGTGGAGGACAAGTACTTCAGTGATATGGAGGAAGCAGCCCTCTGCAGAATGAGTTGTAGAAATGTTACTGTTTGAATCAGCTCTGGCTGAAATCTACAGGATTTATGGGGCGTGTCGGATTTTATCAGGAGTTTTTTTTTTGGCTCTGCTGCATCTCAGTTCTTGTTCTGAGGAGACACTTTCCATCTCTGAATCAGGAGCCTGTGTGTGTGTGTGTGTGTGTGTGTGTGTGTGTCTCTGTGTGTGTGTGTCAGCTGGCATGCTGGGTTTGTGTGTGTCCGTGTGTGTGAGTGCATTAATGAATGTCTCTGCTGCCGTCTGACTGCTGCTGCAAAAAACAGCCAGGCTGTCTGCCTCTGATGTCCTCTCGTAATAGAATCTTCTGATCATTTTATTGTATCAACTTAAATGTGAATGTGGGTGCTCACATGCAGGTGGGTGCACATGTTTGTGTTTACACAGGGTTGGTAACAAGTGAGAGTTTTTTGTATCAGAACCTGAGTTAACCACAAGAAAAGGTATACATTAAATAAAAAAAGTACGTCAGCTGTCTGTTCAATATTGCAAATGTACAGTCTTTTCTGCTGCCTCTGCAGTGCAAGACTAGACAAGAAATGATGATTTCATGATGTTTTGTCCACTCAAAGAGGAGCTCATGTAACAGTGTGAAATACAACCACTACCTTTGCTCTCTGTTCCACAGGTGATGGGGGCGTAGCATCCTCTGTCCCCTCCCAAGCCAGTCTTGCCAGCAGCAGCAGCCTGGACCTCTTCGACCCCCTTCCCACCTCCGCCTCTATCACTACAAACCCAACCAGAAAGACTCCCGAGTCCTTCTTGGGTCCTAATGCTGCCCTGGTCAATCTGGACTCCCTGGTGTCCAAACCAGCCCAGCCTGCGCCAGTCGTCAACCCATTCTTGGCTTCAACAGGTGGGTAGAAAATATCAAGTGATTATTATCGAAATTTGAAATGTTCTTACTCTTTCAACTTTTTAATGCATTTATAGACTATATGTCAAGTATATTTTATAGATGTTAAAATAAAATGAAAAATTGTTCAAATTTGTGGATAGGAAAAGTTCAAAGAAATTAGGTTTTTCTGTAGATGTATGGACAGGATCTTTCAAACAGGTTAACACACTAGTTAACGTACTGATTAGATAACAGTTGGCACGCTTGGGAGTGTAGTCAGTTAGCCAAGAGACATGGATATACACGTGCAGGCCTGAACACACACAAGCAGACACACCCATCTGTACAGTTTAATGCTGAATCATTGACCCTGTCCTGTCCTAGCTGTGGTGGAAAGAGGGATGAATCATATTTAATTTATTTCATAAAACAGTAGTACACTATAGTAGAGTTTTTTATGCTGATTATTTTCATGTTATACGTAAGTTCTTGTTTTGTTATGTTTTGGATTCCATTTAGTGTGGTAGAGCCCACTGGTTCACCAAGCTCAGTAATATTTCCTCTCTTCCTTTGTCCCCTACCTGTCTTTATCTAGGTGGCTCCGCTCCAGCTGCAGCAGCCCACGCCAACCCCTTCCAAGTGAGCCAGCCAGCTCCCCCCACCCTCAACCAGATGCGGGTCAGCCCCATGCCAGCCGGCTTCGGCAACATCACCGAGCCAATGGCCCTCTCCTCCATTCCTGCTCAGCCCATCACCATGGTGCCCGTGGCAGGGATGGCCCCCATGGGCCGCGTGATGCCAGGAATGGGGGTCGGCCCCGTCGGAAGTGTGGGGATGAGCCCGGGGATCCCGGCCTCCATGTCCATGCCTCAGCCCCTGATGAGCATGCCCCCCCAGGCTGGGACGCAGCCTGCGGGAACCACCAACCCCTTCCTTTTGTGAGGGGGTGACTGGGGTGACGACTTGCTCCAGAGTTACCCCTCTTCTCTCTCTTTCTCTCTCTTCCACTTTGGCTCCTTAAGAAGCTTGAAAATGAACAAGGAGATGTCTTATCCCATTTATCCCTTTTATAACCAACTCCTACCCAGGTCGTAGTCCCAGCCCGCCCTCCTCCTACCTTACCACACTCCTTCTCCTCTGTTTCTTCCTCTCTATGCTACAAGCTGCCTAGTCCTGTGTGTTCCATACTGATCTGACGACGATGTTGGTGACCACAAAGAGTTTGCATCTGTCTTCAGACTTACAGAGTAGCAATGGTGTTTACAGTTTTTTTCCACAGAGGCAGGACAGGACCCAGTCTCTCGTCCCTGTCCTCCTCTCATTCACTCGCCTCCTCTCTCCCTAACTTCTTCCCTTAGGACTGCTCCTTTCTTCTTCTGTGGTGGAGTGACAGGAGAGTATGACTGTACTAACGCCAGGATCTTATCTTTTCACTAGAGCTAATCTTTTATAAGCCCTGTCAGCTGGTGTCTGTTGTGTGTGTGTGTGTGTGGGTGTGTGTGTGTGTGTGTGTGTGGGTTTGCATGTGTGTATGAGAGCGCACATCTCAGTACTTTTACACTGTGTATATTCCAGTGGGTTTTACTTACACACTGGAGTAAGGATGAGAGATGGTCAGATGTGTTTATACTCTGTTATACTCCGTGTGTGTATGTGTGTGTTACTAAGCAGGGATTTTGCACAATTTTTTTCTTTCTTTTTTTTTTTTCCGCAACTGTTGGGCTCACCGTTACACCTTAGCTTAGGGAGGGAGGCTAGCCGCTAAAACAGCCGAGATGACACACATGCCTCGGCTCTCGGTACCACTCAGTCACAACTCTCGTCTGGTCACTTCCTGTCACCTTGGACCTTTTCCTGACCCTCCACATGAACTTTGACCTCCGGGGGTCTCGGGATTAACATGGACACCTATCAAAAGAGATGAACCCCTTGTCCAAGGGGTTGAAAAGATGCGTAAATGCAATTTGTGTTTTTATGTGTGTGCTCATGCGCAGCGTTAATGCTCAGATACTAACAGCCACATGGTGATGTATGTGTCACTCCCCCAGTGTGTGTTTAGAGAAAAAGACATGAACTGTGATGGCATCAGTATTTTGCTATCTGAACATGCGGTGGATGCAGTGGGGCATCGTGGGACAGTTTTTTTCCGTTTTAGTTTGTTTCAAGGGTCAAAGGGAAGAGATGGGTTGTGTTTGTGTGCGCAGTTTGCATGAATGATATGTTTAGCTTCCAAGTGTACTTTAATGAGCAACTTTTTCATTTGTCACTTAGTAAAGTGGAAACTGAATTAGAATTTGCTGAAGTTAGTGCAAGTCAAAACAAGGGGTAATGTAGGCATCTGCAGCCTTAAGTGTGTGTATGTGTGTATGACTGTGTCTCTGGTTGCATGTGTTATGTGTGTGTGTGTGTGTGTGTATGCAACCATCTATCAAAGAGGTTGTGAAGAGAGCTCTGGGTTTAAAGGGCACGTCAGCCAGTCAGCATTGTGAAGAGAGTTTACCTGCGAGTGGATTTACTGTTGCTAATCTATCTACAAGAACATTATCTGGTGGACTCACACACACTTGCACGAGGTTGCTCGAGGATTGGTCTATTGATAGCGCAGGAGATCCCACAGCAAACAACAGCAAGACATCTTGAAAACAAGCAGTTGTTAATTTTGTTGGTTACTTTTTGTTGTTATTTACTCATTAGTTGTAAGTCCATAGCCAAGCCTTTCTGAGTTTTGGAGCTGTGTACTAGCTAAGCCATGTATCATCTTCATTCTCTCTTTTGTCTATGTTCTGTCATTCTTAGTTTTTTCACCCTATGGGTAGGCTATGTAATTCTCTTCTCTTAGAAGCACAACTGTTACCAAAGTCATAGCGACTGTGATTTCTGAGGTTGTTGTACTTTGAGTAGTTTGAACAGTAGGGTCACACTTCACTGACATTTTTTTCTGTTTATGGAAGTTTATGATATCAGAGACTCCCTTGTAATAATTTTTTTTTTTTTTATATTTCAGAGCTATTTTACCGTTTGTTCAGGAGTTTGTGTAAGAAAGTGTTACTGTTTGCTGAATATCGGCACATTTACTGACAGCAAACTAAGCGTCTCTGTCTCCTCTATTGGTCGAGAAAAGTTGGTTGATGAAATACAGCTAAAGATGATGAATTGCGCCGGGTGTATAGACCCTTCTTCTCTTTAGGTCACTGTTCTCTCTTTACTTCAGTTCTGTTAATATCACTGCCAATGTTGTTACTGTGGATGGGGTGTTTTTTTTCCTCTTAGTGAGTTGGCGCCCTCTCCTGGTCTGCTGTGGTATGATAGCTACACCGCAGGACCCTTGAAATTTCCACAAAAGGCAGACCATTTCTCTCAGGCAAAAGGAGGGGCAGCTCCAACTGTGTGTATGATTTTTGATGACGATACTGAGGGCGTTCATGGTGATTTTTATGTTTGGGGTCCTGAATGAATGGATGTGACGATTAACTTGCAGACCAGCAAACATTTTTAATCTTAACTAAATATATGCAAAAATTGGAGCTGGAAAAGTGAAAAAATAAGAAGACTTAACGCTTGATGTGTTTTGCAAAGTTAGATTTGCTAATGAAGTCTTGTTTATTGAATGCTACTATGATACTCTATGCTACTATGGTATGATTTCACTGCGGCCTGACCTTTAACTTTACTCCAGCGATTGTGGAAAAGGCTGTGTTATTGATGCATTTGGAAAAAACAAAAAACCTTTACTGTCTTGAACAAATTCAGCTCTCCTAAACTGTCGGGTGACACTGCAGTTGACCACTTTTTCTTGATCCCTGCAGCAGTTTCACAGTCGTGGCTATGGTGCAGTGAAAATGTGGCCTGTGTGTAGCGAGCTCCTCTGTGTGTTACTATGTATTCACTATGCTTTTATCAAGAGGACTAACTGACCTTATGGACCGTCTGTCTTTATATGCATAAACAGCCTCCTTTATTCTTTTCCATGTCTGTCTATTTACCCTTCTCATAGTACTGGGAGCAGGCTGCTTTTTTTTTTTATTGGATATGTGCTCAACCCGTTGGCATTATAACTGTATAATATAATTTATCATTTGTACTATTGTAACATACTGTTCTTCTGTATACCTTATTATTCTGTGTAATGGGTTTTGTAGGAAAAGTCACCGTGGTATTTTAACGGCATCTAAACAAACGAACGCAGCAGGCCGCACCCTGTTGGATGAGGACAACTGTAGCTGCATTGGTTGAAAATAAAATGTGTATCACTTCAGCTCTGTAACTCCAGTGTCTGTGTCCTTGTATTTTTTTTAACCAAATGTCCAAACATGATCAGTAAACTGAGATTTTCACATAACACTAGGTCGAGAGTCCAAATTCAGTGACATATGCTTTTAACAATATAAATTTAGTCAAAACATTCAAATGTGAAAAAGTACATTTATTTAAGAAAGTAAAAAAAAAATAGTACAGCAAATACATTTTAAAACGGTTTAAAACAGCTTTGAATGTATCTAGTAAAATTTTAAAAATTTTATTTCTACACATTTTACTATGAAAAATTGTGTGTGTGTTCTGGTGTTCTTGCCACTTTGTTTCTGAAGTGAAGTGGCTGTGGCAACAGTCAACTGGACAACTGGGGAAAGTTAGAGACATTTTCTATTTAACGTGTTGTGCTTTCGTTTTGGTGGGGACCAAGCATCCTTGATGGCAAAAAAAGAAAAAGAATAGCTGCAAGTTGTATCTCAAGAAAAACAAAGTCTCATATGTTATTACATATTGTATGGTTGTTCCTCTGTTGACCAGCCAGATGTGACAGATGGTGTGTTTGCAGGGCTTGATGGCCCTGTGTCATAGCCCAGCTTCTTCATGTCTTTAGTCATGATGTGAAAGGAAACTGTGACAAAGCCCTGGGAACGAACCCGCGTCACTGCAAACACATATCGTACAGGATACATATTGTAGAAATAACAATGTTAAAAGACTTGAACACAATTTTAACATAAAACATACTTAATTAATTAAATGGGAATTGAAGTGTGTACCTCACTAAAATTATTTGGTAATTTAGTAACTTCAAATATTTCCTATCTATATAGAAGAAATTTACATTACATTGGGTAAAATGCATTAAACTCCCGAGTTCCACATGTCCACATCTATTTATTAGAGAGAGCAGCAACAAACCTTCTCTGCCTTCACCCTGGGCCACTACTTTAGGGTCTGTGTACTCGGGCCGCCGTCCCAACAGCCAGCTAAACAAGGAGAAAACCAGGTTAAGAAGTACAGATAGAAAAAAAAAAACTAAAGATGGAAAGAGAGACAGGCATGACACCTCTAAGTCAACTGCCAATATACTGTATATATTTTATAGACTGATGGATTAGCCACCGATACATGAGGTTAATTTTGGGCTTTTACTTCAAGATGTACATTGTTTTTTCCAGTATCATTCTCTTTCTGGCAATTTGTTTAAGCAATTTTCAAACTTTTCATGAAGAGAAATCTTGTGCTGCAAATTGATTCAACCAATCAGAAAATATTATGCACTTCCTATCCTATATTATCCCCTTCTCCGACACACAGCAAGTGACACGTTAATGTACGTGTAAAGTATAACTAGGTAGAGTGCATTAGCAAAAAAGAGAACCGTCTACTTATACCTGTCACATTTTCCCAGATCAAGTGGGAAAACAAAATCTGCTAACCATTGTTGCTGTTTAAATTGTGAATCCAAAGGACCAGATGTGCATCTGTACATCGTTAACAGCCTACTGTGTTGTTGGGAATTGAAAAAAACAGTGAATACCTTGTGAATACCAATGTCTTTCCGTGCACTGATAACAGCAGCTGGGAAACAACACACATTGATGTGGAGTAATCTCACATTAGAGGCCAAAGACTTTAGCCTCAGTGGGACTCACACGGAGGAGCAGTAAATATTTGATAACACTCGGAGATCGGCTGTTTCACCCAGCTGGCACAACTCATCAGTCACAGCGTTACAGCTGCTGAGAGAGAGAAAACTAAACACAAAACTGTTCACATATCTCACCTTGTGAATTTCTGAAGTCTCCATGTGGGCTCAGGAACAAACATGGGGATGGTTCGCGTATGTCTGGGAAATAAAACACATAACAGAAAATAAACAAGTACAATTCAATCACATCAAGCAAAAATCACACCCCACCTTACTGTGGTTACGCTTTATTCTTGCGAAGGAAAAAAGTCATATGTGAATGCTTTAGGAAGGAATGTGAAATTTTTCTAACTAGTCACTTAAAATGCAAGCACTAGTACTACTAAAATTGATGCCTTCTTTTAGTATAATTAAAAAAAACAAAAAACAGAAGAAGTTTATGGAGGGTGTACTGACTGTCCAGGAGTGAAGGGGATGTGTGTTGCTCCATAGCCCCGGACCACATCGTTGCCAAACACATCTGGACCATACACACTTACCACAAGCTGAGGCCCTGTAAAATGAAGAGGAAATCCAAACTGAAATCTTAGTATTATTCATACTTTTTATAGAATATGATTTGTATAGGAATGTCGGTGATATTTATCAATTCAACTCATGGATAAACAACAGTGACAGCTGCCAACCAACAGTGCGTGGTTTGTATATGTGTGAGTAATGCTTACATCCAGATGGGTTTGTGCTCTTAAATGTTGTTTCCAGTGGGAAGTTCCATATTAATCTGTGTGAAGACTGACTGCCTTTACAGGTTATTTGAGTGATGCCTTCCTCCAACCCCTAGAGAGAAACAAGACAGACACAAAGATTTACAAATAAGATGATAACCAGACATGAGTTTACCTCTTCTATGTCTTCTTTTATGGATATTATGAAATATTAGTATTTTTCAAACCTTTGGGAATAATTAATGGTTCCTAACATCAGAGTTAATGAGCATGGTCTTCCTTAAAGAACAGAACAATAGCACTACACCATTATACCTTACTGCAGCGCTGTTGTTGCATCCTGAAAACATTCTCTACAATTTTATAATAAAATAGGTGAATTAGCCCATCACATTCATAGACAAGAATTTATATTCTAAGGAGACCCTTGTAAACCTGAATTAAGAGTTCTGTATTAATTTATCTAAAGTTGACCGCCCTGTTAACAAAGATAACACCTTAGTCCCTGGTCACCATGCTCATGATGAGATTTAATGCAATTAGCCGAAAAGCTTTACAAACTTTACATTAAAGAGTAACTTGAATGCTGGCACACAAATATACAATGGCTGTCCGTAACCATCAGTTATTTTCATTATTAACTGATCCGTTGATTATTTTGATAAATGGATATGTTATTTAGTCAATTAAATGTCAGAAAAAATTTAATAATGTCCATCACAAATACCAAGTACCCAGCCAACAGACAAAACACTAATATATTACATTTATAGTGACATAAAACAGATTAAAACAGTAAATGTGCTCATTTGAGAAGAAATGTTTGAGAGATGACTTCCGCAATTATTTGATTACCAACTGGAGTTATAATTGCCTAATTGTTTCAGCACTGAACTACACATTTGTATAAAGGTTTATATTATGAATACATTTCTTTTAAGGCTTGCTTTGTAGAAGAGCTTCTACATGAAAACAAGCACGCACGGCTTGATTTTCAGGTCACCAAAATTTAGACAGAATATAATGCATAACTTGCATTCAGATGGGTGAGTATGAAGTTTGGTGCATTAATAATATAAGACAGTCGTAAAAGACACATCCTTCATGTCATCCGCCAGCTACTCACCGAGGTGGGAGCCCAGTCGTGTCCGTAGACAAAACAGTATTTACAATATAGGTTGTCATACTCTGGAAACTGAAATACAACACGAAAGTACAAGACGTTAACTCCCTACCTGTGTGTAACGAAACACAAATTCGGATAAAAAACACATGCTACCAGTATTGCTGATGCTAAAGAAAATTGTTGCTAGGCTAGGCTAACTAAGAGAAACCACTCACATTAGCTCCCTCAATTTGACCGTTCACTGTGAGGAGAAACACTGACTGGTTGCTCGTGGCCATAACAGCTTCGGTTAGTAAACATAAAAATTAAATGAGTCTTTGTTTCACGACTAACTATTATTATGAAGTCAGTTCAGAAAAATCCTACTGCTACTCATTGAAACAAGCCCCGTCCGTTGCTAGGACGACGCTTGCTCCTCCTCATGGCAACCAACTAGGTCCAAACTGAACGGAAGCGCAGAAGAGCTGCTGAACTATAACTGATGTCCACAAGATGGCGGCGGTGTTTCAAACACGCGTGCGTTCGATTGAAGTTCTTCTGACGCAAAAGATGCCCTCACCTGCACCGGAAAATAACTTTTACACCATGTACAATGTTGGCGCAGGGCTACTTCAAGTCGAACACAACATGGCCCCAGTTAGAAAGGCCGTGGCTGCCTTTTAATTAATCAAATTGCACGACAACTGAGGAACTCTGTCTGCAGAAGAAGACCACGAAATGTGGCGCATGCTTCAGAAACGCAGTAAGTGGACTTTGAGTGGAGCAGTTTTGTGAAGAAAATTCCATGAAGTTTTTAGCTGTTGTGGGAAGGGGAAAATGGGAAATGTGTTTTTTTTCTTTCTTTTTTTTTTTATAGGCAATTGATTCCAGATAGCAACCTGAAAAAAACTAGGTTACATTTACCTTATTTATCCCCAGCTCCAAGGTTAACCCAGTACAGTCAATATATGAATTTCATCAATTCCCAGAAAGTCCAAAGTCAACTATTATTCAACTATAAAACTTGAATTAAACATTTGCTTTAAACACAAACAAAATATTAATTTTCCAGTTGATAACTTTGTGCAGTGCTGTGTGCCACTGAGAATAACAAGGACATGTTCTCAGAGAGGGAGATTTCTCTCAATATTCTTGCATTTGAGAATAAATTAGATGAAACATATTTTATAATTATACACCAGAATCATCAGTATATGTGATCTTGCATTGTAGAGCCTTTGACACAGCTTTTGGCTATCACATTAACAGAAACCATAATCTAACAGTTAAATTGATATATTAATTGTTGAAATTGTGTTTTGGTAGAGGGTGTTATACTCTGAGAATTTAGACTTGTATTCTCATTAATCCTAAAATCCACCCTGACTGTGTCTCTGTTCCTGTGTAACCAAAGCCTAGGATTCACTTAAAAAAAACTGTCTGACAGCATTTACACATGCCTGAATGACATGCTGTGCTGAAGCAAACAATAATTACAGTGGGCCACATATGATGTCTCCCACAACACCATATTGCTGTGAGGAGCGTGGCCTGTTATAAAGGACATTGCACTCAAAATAGCCTATACTTCAGGGTAATTATTAGGCTACGTATCCATTAGCTGCCTTTGTTCAGATAATTAGCTATGTTTTAGTTTTAGGTTGGGAAATCAATTGTTTCTATCAGCTCTGTCACACACACCAATAATTTCCCCCTCTGTCCTTCTGCCCACTCCCACACCACTCTTTCTTTCTGTCTGTGTTATAGGTTGGTGTGTGTCGTGCTGTCAGACAGCAGCGGGCCCCCTGAGTCTCTGACCTTTATTAGTGCCCAAACAGCAGCTCTCTTTCCATCCTCCATCCTTTCACCACTCTGTTCATCCACCCTCCCCAAAGCTTGTGTCGTTTTTTTTTGCCCTGTCTCCCATCATAACCTGCTCATTATGAAGTCAAGAAAGCAATAACCTGGCAGAAGTAAACAGGCCATCATTACATATTCAGCCGACAGACATCAGCCATCCCCAAAGTCTCAGACTTTCATGTAAATATCAATAAGATTGCACTGTAGCCTTGTCCGATAAATGCAGTAAGTAATTCTCTTCTACGTGTATCCTCTCTCCACTGGCACTTCCATCCTTCCTCCCTCTCCTTCACTCATTGATTCCTTACTCCCTTCATCCAACTCCTATCATCCTCCTTTTGACCTCTTTAAGTCTTCTTCCTCCCTCTTATACCTCTCCTCTGCTGTACCTCTTCTTCTCCATCTCCAATCCATCCTTTTTCTGTCCAACTATTTTTCTACCGTCCCTTAGTCCCCCACTAACACCATATCACTTTTCATGTCATTCCCAGCATCCCTCTATCCCTCCTTCTTTTCATCCCACCACTTCATTGATCCTCCTTCTTCTCCACCTGCCAAATTTGTATCTCTTTGTGTTTCTCCACCTCCTGCAATCCTTCTGTCCTGTTTTCATCTCTCATCATCTCCCTATTGCTTTTTCTCCTCTTGCCAGCATCTCTCTCTTCTTCCTCCCCAATGTCCTGCCCATTTCTCTTCTTCATCCCCCTCCCCACAACAACCTCCTTGTCTCTTTCTCCTCCTCTGAACATGTAACTCTTCTCCTCCCTTCTTTAGTCTCCTTTCCTTATTCACCTGTCATGGCTCCGTCCCTCAGTTTCCTCTGCTCTCCGCCCTCCTGTACCTTTCTCTCCTCACCCTCTCATCTCTCTGACCCTCTTTTGGGCTCCATCTCTCTACCTTCTCCTTCTTGCCAAATGCCCGATTTAGAGTCAGACAGCCTCACGACTGGCGGCCCATTTAAAGCCGCTGTGGAGTGGCCAATCCAAAGGCATCCTCTGGCCCCTATGAGATCTCATTTTCTCTGGACTTTTTACCTAAAAACATGTACACTTGTAAAATCTGGAGTGTTTTTCTTCAATTTCCACATTCTTTGTGTGTGCATTTCCAAATATAAGCCCACAGAATTGGCCTGGAAATGGCTATGGGAGGTAGTAACACATAATAGGGCTGTTTATAATCTCACTGAACATGGGAACACACAGTGCCAAGTGCCTTTCACAGGTCCCTACATGATTGAAAGTGAAACAGCATGTTTCTGGTATGTATTCTTAATGGATATATCTTTATGTCACAGAGCACACAGTGATCTCATGCCTGGAGGCTGCAGCATCTTGGAGAAAATGCCTCGCTGAAGTGCCCTTCACAGGTGGCTACTGGGGGAGTGTGATTCATCCAGAACAGGGGTGGAGAGAGGTATAGTAGAGAAACACCGCTTTCCTATTTTTGCTTAAACACACATGCACACACCATACAGATAGTTTCTGCTCAGTAACAAATTGTCACAAAATATTATGTACGACAAGCATAATTCAATGAGTCGTATTTCTCTAATTTTCAAACTGGTGCACACAGAACAGCAAAGTAAGAGGCGCTGATGGAGGTTAATGTCTCTAACTGTGTGTGACTAATGGTCCATGACCACCGGTTCAGTGACTTTGCTCCTAAGAGAAAGCCCAGGCACTTGACCTGCTGTCCAAGCAAGATGCATAGGAGGAGAAAATACAAATGTGTGTTCGGACAGTAGAAGAGCCCGAACTCAATTAATCTGATCTACCTACCTGCCTAACTAACTATCGTGTCGATTGTGTTGCACTGTTCCTTTATTAAAGCTGCCAGGGCATTTCCACGGCAGGCGTTCTCAGTGGCTTTATGAAGAGATCTACCTGTGTTATGATACCTGCGACAGTCGATACATTCAGCCTGTCTAACAAAAAACCCCCAAACTGTCTTCTGCCGCCCTTCACTTTCAGTTTAATGAGCTGTTCTTCTGGCTGTCTCTTCCTCGGTCGAGCCTCTGTCTCTTATTCTGCCTCTGTTTCTAGCTAAACTGACTGCAGAAGTTTCTTGTCTAAGTTGTCTTCTTGTCTAGCTAACATGGACTGCTTTCTGCTGTGGCTAAATTCTACAGTTTGGTCTGCGTGTGTGCAAAACGTGTGTGTGTATGTGTGTGCATGCATCTGTGTGGTGCATACATGTAGGTGTGTATGTGTGTATGTGTGTGGTCCTTCTTTGTCCCAGTTTGAATCTTTTATTCCCTCTGGGAGAGGCACCAAAACTCCTCATCATATTTTTAAACTACTCCCCTCCTCCTAGCCCACGCTATAACCCCTCTCCCTGCCTCACCCCAAATGCCTCTGCCTCAGACTCAGAGTCATCTTGGCTCCCAAGGGCCCATCTGTCCAGAATCAGGTTGGCCAGTTTAGGCCAAAGGCTTTAGAGCATTAGAGCAGGTTTTTCAGTAAAGAACACACTTCATTCACACTCAGATCAACAATTTTTGCTTCAAAGGAATCGTTCGACATTTTAGAAAATAAGCTTATTTGCTCTCTTGCCGAGAGTAAGATGAGAAGATTGATAACAAAATCTACAAACTAGCATCTTCAAACCTCACTGATTAACAAGTTGCATTTTGTTTATTTAATCCATACAAAAAATTGAAGTTTAAAAATGAAACAGTGCGGTTTTACGTGGGCTTATTTCTAACTCCTACTAGCTGCAATATAGAATATGTCAGGTTAGCTTGTCAGAGTCTACAGATGTTTATCGAAGTGTTGTGTGAAGGTAAGGTGCTACATAGAAATTAATGTATTCTCAAGTTTCATCAACTTGCTTTAGATTTAAATAGATTTCTGAAAGTCCACATAAAAGCTATCCGGAAATTGTGGCAATGTGTTTTCTACCTCTCTTCTGCGTGTGCGTCCTTGATTGTAAATGGGAAACCTAACTATAATTTGCAATTCTATAACACAAATCTGCCCTGCTCTCCTACAAAAACTCAATATGCATTTAGGTAACTGTAAAATCAGCTATTTAAGGCTGAGCTACCACATGACTGGTGAGAGACGCACCTAAATTTCCAGGCAAGTATCAACCTCATCTTCTCTTCTGTGAGAGCCTGTTCTGCCGCAGGCTGCCACCCAGCTCTGTAACCTCCACCGTCCTTCACTGAGGAGGAGGCGAGGGGAGCGAGAGGAGGGGGAGGGAACAAGGTGGTACAAGGGGAAAGTTACAGGGACAAAAAATGAGGAAGCTACTGCATGAAAAAGACAGCTGTTTTAAGGGACTGGTAAGAAGGGAGCGGTGGGGGAGAGGAGAAAATCAAGCAGCTGTGGAGGGTGAATAGAGGGAAAGAAGAGATAGATCTGAAGAACTCAGAGGGGAGGTTATTTAGATATTCATCACTGGAGTGAGTCTTTAAGGTCAGACTGGTCTACTGAGCTCCCCAGTGGTGGAGTAATAAGTCACGATGCCGTTGGCTCTGGTTGGAAAAATACAGAAGCTACTAGGGACAGCTTTTCATGTATACCAGCATGTCGGATAGACGCAGTTTCGGTTCATCGAA